AATAACGATAAAACATTGCATATATATATGAACTAATACAGCATAATTCTTTAACATTCAATAATGAACCTATTACAGTAAATACAAAAACAATCTTATTTACAACAGAATTGAGTTACACTAGTTTTTGTCTTGATTTGCTCATTGATATTTTTAAAAATCATATGGAGATTTATTTACAACTTTTAATATAAACATTTCATTTCAGCTAGCTTTTTTGTAGTTCAACAATAAAACAAACAAAATAGGTTATGTCAAACTAGAAATGACGATCTTTTTTAAAGGCATTTGCACCGACCCTCGTAATCCATCCTTCTCAGATGGGATGGTGGGCCAAATCAAAGGTTGCAATGGGCCATTTTTGGGCATTTCTGCTCTAATCACTTAAATATGACTATATAAGATCATATACTTTAGGAATTTTAATCAATGTTGTGCTTGTGAAGTTCTACACAAATAAATTAGATTTAAACAGATTTTTTATTTGCAAACAGAGACGCAGCTCCCACTGAAATGTCGAAGCCATTTCCAATTAATGCGAGCAAAATGACACGCGCCAACTGTTTAATTGACTGAGACAGCTGTTCAGAGATTGATTCAAATGGGAAACAGACCATAATTGCAAGTCATTCAAGAAACTCTTTCTTAATCCAAGAGATTTGAGTCAAAGCCAGTTAAAACCACACATATAGGGTCTCTCCCAACATTTAAAAGCCTCATTTTAGGATTTAAATAAACATGTTGCTTTTAGCTTAAAATGGTCACACTGCATTTACCAACTCAGGCTCATTCTGAAAACGTACCACTATATACATTTCTGGAGAGTGCCAGATTTGTCGCAGGAGGTAGTTTGTTTTTGCAGTTTTTGTTTTTATAAATCCACCGGAGGCCGCTGTGTACGCTTTTTGAGATCTCAAATTTCTCTTGTGAGCGCTATTAGTGCCTGCTGTTCTCACATAAATGCACCAGAGGCCGCTGTCGACTGACTGACTGACCGACAAACCTATCACTACCCACCCACCCCTTCCCTAAACCCAACCGATAGTGTTTTAGGAAAGCACCGACTGGCTTGATTTTTACCATGTTTTTAGATTTTACCACATTCTCACCCTGTTATTACTTGTCTATTATAATTATCCGGTTTCTAAAAACGGACTTGAACCCTGTCGTTGTGGTGAACTCCTCTGCGTCTCAAGTCCGGCAATGTACATGGCGAGCAAACTAGACAACCTGGTAATGGTGGGAAAGCCGTCCATACGGAGGTAAGTGGTCAGCTGGTAAGCTCGACGGTGTTATACCGCTTTGTAGCGTTCATTTTAAAGACTAAATGCAGCCATACATACTGATACATAATTCACAATCTCCAGAAATGTATATAGGGCTACGTTTTCAGAATGAGCCTATGTTAGTATTTACGGCTTTCACTATGTACTTAAGCATTTGCAAAAACATGTTGGTGCATTGGAATTACAATAAAAATCCTATCTTTTAACATGTTAATGTTAATGGTTACTATAACTCAAAAATATGGAAATTTAATCAAGTCAACTTAACAGTTCCCAGTTACAATGTGTTTCAAGAGTTCACATAGACTGTGTCCGAAACCGCCTATTACTCAGTAGATACTGCATCTGAATTTAAACGTACTACTATGCCATTAGAAAAGTACGTTCTATACAGCAGTGGTCCCCAACCACCGGGCCGCGGACCGGTACCTGTCCTTGGAACAATTGGTACCAGGCCACATAAGAAGTCATGAATTATTTCTGTAGAAAATTTTCCCCCGCGACTTGGTTTCTTCCACTCACCCATCACACCCCCCACCCCCCACCGCCCCCGCCATCTCACGTGATATGGACTATGCCAAAATCCACCACGGAGCGGGAGGAACGATCGCTAGAATCTAGCTCAGTGGTGGTTGTTGATAGTTTAAAGTTATAAAACAGGTACTGTATTATAGAGTCCAAGTCAGCAGAGCATTTACGGACTTTGCATATATGTGTGTGTGCATCGCTAAGTGAGTACCCGAAATCATTTCAATATGTATCTATATGGAGTTTCACATAATCATACTCATTAGGGCTGTAACATGCCAATGCATACATTTAATTCGGCTATACGGTTGTATTATTGTTAATATGTTCATCAGTTGAAATGTTTGGCACAGATGTTATGTATTTGATGCATATAAACCTTGATTGAAACACAATCAGACCACGATAGAGCAACTAGCGCATGCGCACTCAGTTGTTCATGATTAACCTGGATGCACGATTAACCAGCAGCTGTGTTCACGTGAAGACACCCTCCTTATACTCGATGCTAGTTCGCTTGAGTGCACACAGGGAATGTAACGTCAGCGCAGAGTTTGGGTGCGCACAACATTATTTTGGTTGGCAGAGCGTTTGATTTTTTGTTGAGACTCGAGCGAACAGTTTCCGCAGCGCCGCGTTTGACTTAAGTTGAATATGAAACACTTTGAACAGATTTAGTCTGAAACAGAATGACTGTACAGACACCTTTATGATCAGTGATCATCGAGATAACCTAATGATTAATAATTATTGGCTAAAAATTGCAACCGCCATGGCAAAGGTGAAAAGTTTTTGTTAAAGTTTGGAAAAACCTGGGATTTCATCATGGGATTTACACTGATGTATATATAACAGTTTTGAATTTTTATAAAATTGAATGGTTACAAAACTATAATTAAGGAACAAATTATTTCTTTGATAACTAGAAAAGAATATCTGAATCTATCAGTTTACAATATACTGATGGCGGTATCGCGGAGGACGCAGCCTTAGATCTTGCTTGGCGCTATAAGCAGGTTTGGCATGCTGTTCCGGGAGAGAACCCTGGTCTCGGAGATAAGTGAGCCCAGGGCTCCTGCCTGGTCTTTTAGCATGTAAGGATTAGGTAGGTCTCAAGAGCTCCCCCTAGTAAAGAAGGAAAAGGAGGAGATGGGGTGGAAGGGGGATTCTTCCAAAAAAAAATGGATGAGTACAATTACAGACATGCTCCTCTCGAAAGTAGTCTAAAAACTCGAGAAAAGTTTGGAAGTTGGTTTTCAAACTTAGTTATTATAATTTTATAATTTGTATTTCTGTCCTAAATATTGTTCCTCATGCTAGAACTTACAATTGTACTGTTCAATTCAGGAAGGAAGAACATGTGAACTATTTGTTTTCTGCTGATAACAATTTATTGTCTTATACGGATTCTTCATATTTGATACAGTAACTCTCTGACTTGCATCACTAAAAAAAGGTAAACTCAAAAGCAAACAGGGAAAATTGTGAAATAGTCAATTAACATTTATTCACCATATATATTAAGAAAAGTTACTGTTGACAAAATTACAGATTTTTCCTGCAGCATTTTTATGGTTTTTGTAATCTGTTGAAATCACAGACATTTTCGACACTGGAAAAACTGTGCATAAATGATCAGTTTTCCATATTTTGTAATCTCATGTTTTAATTTTTCCGTTTATTTGAATTGCATTATGGGAGCTTGATCTTTCTTCCAATCACTTTTAACCCTGAAAAGTTTTCAAAAAAGGGACTTTTATTAACATTTTAAGCTATTTAAAATGATATTATAGCTGTTTCTCAATTGCAAGAATGCAGAAAACGAACTTGTGTTCTTGTGGAGACCCCAGGTGTCCTCAGAAGAACGAAATCGGGAGACTACAAGAACAGAGAACATGTCCTGTGAGAAATAAGATGCTCGTTCTTCCTCATGGTCACATGACCTTCAGGCATTTTTAATGGAAAATTATTTAACCATTACAGCGTTCATACGATTTATTGTTTTTCCCCTTTTCACAAAACATAGTCCACATGAAAACCTTAATAATATACTCTGCACAATAAATAAAACAGATTTTAATACGAATTTCAGCAAATAAACACCCTTAATGTGTTCATGCCTTTCATGGTAATCATGGTAATTTTTATATTCACCGTTTCTTTTAGAGAAACTCCTGAGGTTAATAAGTCATATCTCTGAACTTTAGTAATAAATTGAAATAATATGCTGCGCTTCCCACCTCCAGTCGCAATGACTTCTGGGACTTCTAGAGCGAATTCGGTGCTCAAGTCTGGATCCATGTGTCCTCAATATCAAGAACACATCCGGGAAGCTTCACGCATCCTCTGTTTCTTGGAGTCTTGAGTTTTGAAACTGAACTTTAGCTCGTTACACGAGAACGCAAGATCCCTGAAGAACGCATATTAAGAAACAGCTATTGTCTGGGTTGGAGTTGTATGTCATGCTACAAAAACATTCTAATAAACTACCAGTACATTTTCTGTTCCTTTACAGACTTATTTCTTTATCTATCACCTCTTAAACATTATATTGTTTCAATTCGCTGCTATAATGTCAATGAAAGTGACTTTGTTCAATTGTAGAGTTGAATTTTCAACATCAAGTTGACAGAGCAGAGATCAACATCCCATAATGCAATTCATTCATTTTCCTTTGGCTTAGTCCTTTATTTATCAGGGGTCGCCACAGCAGAATGAACCACCAATTATTCCAGCGTATGTTTTTACGCAGAAGATGCCCTTCCATATGCAACCTAGTACTAGAAAACACCTAAACACTCTCATATTCACACACACACTCATACACTACAGCCAATTTAGTTTATTTAATTCACCTATAGCGTATGTGTTTGGACTATGAGGGAAACTCCACACAGAAATGCCAACTGGCCCAGCCAGGACTCGAACCAGCAACCTTCTTGCTGTGAGGCGACAGTGCTAACCACTGAGCCACCAATGCAATTCAAAATCGTAAATATACGAGTCTCTTTTTGCTTTTATCTAGGTCAGGTGAGCATGCTGAGAGAGTATAGAAGTAAATAAAACATGAATTACAGACTACTATTTAGAGAACGCACGAGAGTTTCTTGAAGCCTCAAACACAAAGAGCAGGGCGCGTTTTACATGACAGAGCATGCATGTCTACATCTAAAGCCTGCACACTGTGGTTAATAGAGTGTTTACTGACACGAGCCCCCTAAGAGCAGGGTTGCAAGCGTACAATTTGCGCAAACGCACGCTCGGAGCATCAGCAGCAGTAGTGGTGATGCTCTCTGCATGCCGCATGTCTTGCGTCGCATAGCGCACACACACGCGCGCGCACACAGAGAGACGGAAGCGGGATCGTGTCGGCTGGAATCACCTTTACACATTATTCTGCGTTCGGTAAAAAAGCAAACCGCGACGAATCCGCGGAATTTGGGCTCGACACACGCAAAAGCCGAGCACCAGCGCATTTCCATCAGCCTCCAAACACGCAACTCGAAGGTAAGAGGCGATGCATGCGTGCATATGAAGCTGGGAGAGATTTATATGCGTCGCAGACGTGTGTGTTCCTCCTGATTTAGGCAATGTGTGAACGCGTGAATGCATGCGCGAGTGACTGAATGCGTTATTAGCGCGCGTGGCCTGATTAGATTAGAACACTAGGCTTTAATTAAAACCTGTGCATTTGATGCATTTGGAGCGCTGATGGCAACATGGGCTCACCGGTTGCTTGTTACCCCCGATTTGTTCAGTGACAACATTTAGTGTCGTGTATAGTGAATTTCAGAGCTGTTTCACTTGAGAGATGCTTTTTTTGGGGGGGATGTGAGATTTGAGCACTGCGTCTTTTCTCTGCAGCCTCTGTCGGAATGGTACATTTTGACTGTGGTGCATCATTAAAACACATCTAAATGATTCATTGGAGACATGCAAATGAATTGACGCCCCTAATCTGTCACATCAAAACGGATGCGTAAATGGGATCTAAAGCAGATCTTGGTTTTTAAGTCATTGAAATCTTTAGATCCTTCATTTATTGTGCATTTCTTCCCAGTGGTTTCTCTTCTCAAGGTCATTCGTTCAGCCATTGGTGCTTGAAAAAGCCCCAGTGCTATTACATAAGTGTGACGACTGGGTCGTGGTTAACAATTCCCGACTGTCTTTAATTGAAGCCGCATTCTCTTATCAAACGTGTTCGAGGCTGCTCTGTGTGTGTTTTTTTTCTATTCCTCCACGCACATTTGATGCGGGAGAGGCTGCAAACGCAGACAGACGCTCCACATGGAAATGAAAAGCTCGTCTTCACCCCTCCCCGTTTGTAGCCTATTTTACCTGATGCCCATTTACACATAAACTCTTGTGACTTTGATCTATTTCGAGAAGCAGCAACACAGCTGCCAGACCCCATCACAGCTGACTGCAGATTCTGTGCATTCATATTTTAGGTTATTTGCATTTAATATGCATGACATCATGGTGTTCCTCTGGCTTGTATGTGTGTGTGTGTGGGGGTAATGCTCGACTGATATATGCGTTTTATTAACGGTCAGTGCTGAAAGCCATTTTTAGTGGAGGCATGCACACACAATGCAGATGTGACAATTTAGAGGGAGAGTTCACACAAGAATGAACATTCTGTCACTTTTTATGCACCCATTTGAATCTGTCTGCAGATTAATTAAAGAAAGAAGATTTTTAAAAATGTTATTACTGGCATGGTGGCTCAGTGGTTAGCACTGTCGCCTCACAGCAAGAAGGTTGCTATTTTGAGTCCTGGCTGGCGTTTCTGTGTGGTGTTTGCATGTGCTCCCCGTAATGGTGTGGGTTTCCACTGGGTGCTCCGGTTTCCCCCACAGTTCAAACACATGCGCTATAGGTAAGTTGTATGAGTGTGTATGGGTGTTTTGCAGCTGGAAGGGCATCCGCTGTGTAAAACATGCTGGATAAGTTGGCGGTTCATTCCGCTCTGACGACCCCTGATTAATAAAGGGACTAAGCCGAAGGAAAATGAATGAATGAACTACCGGTTTGCTAGTCATTCCACAGTGTAGAGATTCCCAATAAGTTTTTCAAGAAACATTTTTAAAGGCCCAACGCTGATACTGAATATCCTGATTGGCCTATCAGACGTCCAAGCATTGATCAGGTTTGTTGTTGCTCCATTACCGGGACACATTTTTGTGAAATCAATGCCAATGAAAATAAAGACGCATTATCGATTAACACTTTATGTTTGTTCATTCATTCATTTTCTTGTCGGCTTTGTCCCTTTATTAATCCGGGTTCAACACAGCGGAATGAACCTAAAACTTATCCAGCATGTTTTATTCCATCTCTGGGAAACATCCACACACATACACTCATACACTACGGACAATTTAGTCTACCCAGTTCACCTATACCGCATGTCTTTGGACTGTGGGGGAAACCAGAGCACCCGGAGGAAACCCACGCGAACGCAGGGAGAACATGCAAACTCCACACAGAAACACCAACTGAGCCGAGACTCAATCCAGCAACCCAGGGACCTTCTTGCTGTGAGGTGACAGCACTACCTACTGCGCCACTGCATCGCCCCACTTTATGTTTGTATTTATTAGACCATTATAAATGTATCAGAATATTGATTTGTATTGTCATGTACGGTGGGTAATTATTTATTTGAATTATTTTAACGTTTATTTTTAATTTTATAAAAATATTTATGGATTTTTTTATTTTACTATTATTTTATTTTGTTTATTCATTATTATTATTATTAATAATATTTTCCATTTTGCTATATTTTTATCTATTCCAGCTGTAATTGTATTGTAATTTTATTTGTTTGCTAACTAATTTGGGCGGCAATGTTCAAACTGGGGGGGGGGGGGGGGGGGGTGGGGGGGTGGATCTTGATTAGACAAAATGTTTTGTTAAAGCTTGAGAAAATAATCACAAATAAATATTTTTTTAAACAGTTATGGGGACAGTTCACCCAAAAATTAAAATACTGTTATTATTTATTGCACTTACTTTAAAGAATACATGATAAAACCCCTATGGTAATTTTCTTTTCCTGCTATGGAAGTCAGTGTGTTCCAACACAGTGTGGTTCCGAGGGGAGGGCTTTGGGGGCTTAAGCCCCTGATGTATAGTCAAAAGCCCTTGATCTTTTGGAATATGTTGCACTTAAATAAAAATAGGTTGTATAACATTTATTTTGTTATCCATCCATATCCATATCATTACTTAAAATTACCACATACATCCTGCGCATTCCACTAAACGCAGCGTTTGTGTCGGGTAATTGAATAGTCAGCTGTTCACCTGTTTCTATTGGCAGATGGGAGTGGCTCTGTTGTCACATGGTGGTAATAAAAAATCCCGCCACTGCACTGTCATCATTCATTCATTATTTTGAGGAGCTGAAGCTGATGAGGTAATAATATAACTGTTTCGCCAAACTTAGTAGTTCTAACTACTGATGAAACTTAATATTTGTTTTCACAATATAAATATAATGTAGTTTTGGTTAAATAAAATAACTGTAATCAATAAAATGTGCATTATTTAAATGTAAATACGTGCGAATTATTCAGAAAAACATCAATTGTATTGGCTTTCTAGATATGATATAGATATCTAGACATATTTATTTATTATAGCCAGTCACATCTGTTTCTCTAATAGTTAAATCACCTTGAGTTCATGCATCTAGCATAGTATTTTATAGCTATATTCTACTGTAACATGCTATGTCAGTTAGCATCGAATTATAAATCGACTTCCTTATGAAAATACCTAAGATGGCTGGAAGAACACATATAAACCATTTATTGTCGAAGTCGTGTAAATGATTAGTTAAAGCTTTTTATGTTTATTCAGATCGTATTTTCATTCAACTACAGCAATAGCTGGATGCCTTCATCCATTTTAGGAATTTCCTGGAATGTTCTGCTACTTTTGTGAGGCATATATGGAATTTCTGCTCAAGTATGAATGAAATGGGCATTACATGCATTTAAAGTGCGACAATGCCCACATCAACCTATTTTGAGGAAAACTGAAAAAAACCTCTCTCTAAAGACATTTGAAGTAAACATAGTTCTAGCATATAGATCTTTATTTATTTATCTTTTTTACTATTTTTGATACAATTGTTATTATATCAATAATAGTAGCCTATTGAATATCATTATTTTGCAAGATATTGAATTTAGAAATTCCAGTATCTTGACAACACTACACCACAGTTGATCACTCTCTCCAAATGAACATGTGTGTAGCTTTGAATCACATTGGATAACAACTCACACACTCTTAAATAACCATATTTTCAGATTTAAAGACAGGCAGAAAATCACACTTTCAAAAAACAAACAGAAACTGCAAATCAGGAGGAGATAGGAGGTTCAAGAGGTTTGATATGACTACAGACAACAGACTAGTAAATGAGAAGTACCCTAATTTATCAATGTTTACTCCTTTTTGGTGTTACAAGTCAACAAAGCTTATTGTGAAACTACTGTCAACTCAAAAACCCTTTATGCATTATCAAACCATTTATAATCCTATTATTAAGATTAGAGTAGATCACCTTTTGAAAGTGGGGTTATTTTAGCGGGGTGAATTAGAACTTCGTTTTAGGGGCTTATCCCTTTCGACCCTTGCAACGCCACTGGTACGACAACCAACATTCTTCAAAGTATCTTCTTTAGACTGTGAGGGAAACCACGCCAACACATGGAGAACATGCAAGCTCCACGCAGAATTGCTAGCTGTCCCAGCTGGGACTCAAACCAGCTAACTTCTTGCTGTGAGGCGACAGTGCTAACTATTGAGCCATTGTGTCGCCCTGCATAATAAAACCTTGATAGTAACTTCTTTTTCTACTTGGGAAGTCATTGTGTTCCAACAACCAACATTCTTCAAAATGCCTTCTTTTGTGATCAACAGAAAGGATTTCATAAAGGTTTAAAACCACAAGAATAGTTATTTTTTATTTTTGGGTGAACTGTCTCTTTAAGAGCAAGATTTACTAACAACTTATAAGCCCAAACCCATTTTTTCAGCATAAAAAATTGTAATAAAGTCTAATATTAATACTGTAAAAGAGGTTAAACTGTCAATTGTATTATTGCTTAAGCATTTGTATGAATTTCACTTTCATATGGTAATTTCTTTTTCAACCCCTGAAGTCAATAAGTCCCAAGAACTAACATTTTTCAAAATATCTTCTTTTATGTTCAACAGAAAGGAGCTCATAAAGGTTTAAAACCACACGAGGGAGAATAAATGAGTGCTTTTTTTGGGGAGGGGGGGGGGGTGAACTTTCCCTTTAAGTGCCAGATTTACTAACAATTTATAAGCCCAAACTCTTTTTTGCATAAAAAAATTGCAAGCCAGGCTCATTATGTATACGTGCCCCGGTATACATTTCTGTAGAGGGCGAAATACGTCCCAGAAGGTAGAGGTCAGTGCAGGACTGATTTTTTAGTCTTTGTTCACCCACTGCCCGCTTAGAATAATTTTCTACCTGACTGTTTTCGCTAAATTTAGATCTGGTTTACAAAATCTCACGATTAAATTGGAACTACCAAAAGAGAGAGATAACAGATAAAACTGTAAGCTGTGCAAAGATTGTAGGCTTAATGTCAGATTTTTTTGCCTGCCCCTTTGAGACATGAGTGCCGCTTTAAACCTGAGGTTCCAGTCTTCTGCTAAAGGGTAAAACTTTGAGGTATTAACACACCACGCAAAGGGTTTATTTTTTCCATTTGGGTCATGAAAAAGACTGTAATGTGGGTTTCCTGACAGTAAACTGAGGCTCACCTCTTTCTCTGCTCAATGTTTGAAGGCTCACTTGTCTGACATTTTCTCTTAAATGTTTGTATGAAATGCTCATTCAAACATTCATTTATTAACAAAAATATATACATTTGTTGTGCCTTATTTTATTTTCTTATTGTTTTTACAGCATTTTATAAAAAGGATTTTAATATTATATTTAATATTTAAATATTTAATAATATTAAATATTTAATAATACTATTTAAATATCTACTATTTAAAAATACACAAACAAATTTTACAGAAATACAGTAAAATACTCCAAATCTGTTGAAACGCGTCGATCTGATGGCGGAATAGTTTGCAGCAGGATATTATTGAGAGATCGCTGACAGGAACAGTGAACAGCTCCGCCAGAGTGTGTCTGAAGCCCATATTTAAGTTTATTTTACAGTATTGCAGAAACACCACTGAGCCTCGCGTCCATTATAAAACACTGGCAGGACATTAATTTGGACAGCTATGCAGATTTATTAAATTCATTAATTCATTTTCTTTTCAGCTTAGTCCCTTTGTTAATCTGGGGTCACCACAGTGGAATGCACCGCCAACTTATCCAGCACATTTTTTAGCTTACCCAATTCATCTATACCGCATGTATTTGGACTGTAAGAGTTTGAAGTAATCAATCACAGAACAGGAGAAAGTCCATTACTTCAATCATTTAAATATAGCATATTAACAATGATATCCGAAAATTGTAGTATAATATTGAGAGTTAATTTTAAACTATCTCACGGCCCACCTGCTGGATCACTGAGGCAAACTAGTGGGCCACGGCCCACCAGTTGAGAATCGCTATTCTAATGCAAGCTGAACGTCCTTCAAGGACAGTGGATCTTCCCTTTGCTCTGCCATGGTAAAGCCCGCTCTGAGGACCGTTATGCAGATGATGATTAAATCACACTGAACAGAGCTAAACTGAACTGAACTGAACTTAAACACTAAAACCTGAACCACACTGTTCCAGTTACTATGACCATTTATGTGAAGCTGCTTTGACACAATCTACATTGTAAAAGCGCTATACAAATAAAGCTGAATTGAATTGAATTGAATGCATACACAGACTGTGTGAATAAAAAGCACGTGCAGAAAACACTGTTCATGCGTTCATCATGTGTAAAAGTAGTGAGCACTGGCTTTACCGGAGTTCAATAAGAATAAGGAAATCACAGACATGCTGTTCCAAAATAACATCGGGACTTGAGAGTGGTTTTTTGTTAGACAGCCTGCTGCCATTCAAACTACACCAAAGTTACTGACTGCTACTGCAATTTATTCTGAAATTTATTTCAGTGCTGCAAGAAATCTGGTCTGAGCTACCAGAAGCTACGTTTTTTTGCAGTTTAGTTTTCGCAAATCCACCAGAGGTCGATGCGTACGCTTTTTCAGATCTCTAAATTCTCTTGCGAGTGCCATTTGCACCTGCTGTTCTCACATAAATCCACCAGAGGCTGCTGTCGACTGACTGACTGACGATAGATCTCCCCACCCACCCTATTCCCTAAACCCAACCGATAGTGTTTTCATAAACAATCCAAAAAAAAGAAAAAACCCTTGCGGCCACCTGATTTTTACCACGTTTTCAGACCTGTTATTTTATTTTTATGTCTTGTTTTTGTTTTACCCGCTTTCTGTAACCACTTCTCGCAAAACTCGACCCCCGCTCTGCGTCTCAATCCCTCAGATGTATGCGACGAGCCACTGGGCAAACTGCTAACAGCGGTAATCATTCAGCTGGTAGCATGAAAAGGAACCGAAGCCATTGGCAGCGTCATACTACTCCCTAGCGTTCCTTTTAAATACATACCTCTGCCTACATAATTCACTCTCTCCAGAAATGTGTACAGGGCAACGTATTCACAATGAGCCTGTGTTGAAAATATCTGTGTCTATATACCTGTGTCTAATATTAATGCTGTAAAGTAGGGGAAACAGTTATTTTTATTATTTGTAGGATTTTCCTTTTCATATGTAAAATTAATTAATATAAAAGTCATGAAATTACAATTACTAAGTTTGCTGCAGTTGGTTTACTGGTAATTTCACCATCATTTAACAGCCCAAAAAGCATTTCTTTATCCAATTTGCACCTGTGTTTCAGTAGATTACCTACTGTTTATTGGTTATCATTGGCTCTGCTTGTTTTTTAAATATAAACTGCATTAATCGTTATCTAATCTGTTCTTTAATTTAAGTATGGTCCACAGAATCACTCACAATCACAAGAATCACAGAATCAAAATACCCAACGTCATTTTGTATGGGATTAAACTTGGCCTGTGTAGTAAACCAATTCCCCAATTTTACACCCAGATCTCTTGAAAGAGTCCAACACGGAGAGCATTCTGTAACCATACTGTACTCGCTCTTTCCTCATGCAGTAATCATGGGAAAGCAGAACAGCAAACTGACCCCTGAGGTGATGGAGGATCTTGTGAAGAACACAGAGTTTAACGAACATGAGCTGAAGCAGTGGTACAAGGGTTTCCTGAAAGACTGTCCCAGCGGCCGACTAAACCTGGAGGAGTTCCAGCAGCTCTATGTGAAGGTGAGAGCCTTTTACCAAACAGTAGAGATATACAGTGCATCTGGAAAGTATTTGTAGCGCTTCACTTTTTCCACATTTTTTATGTTACAGCCTTAGTACAAAATGGATTAAATTAATTTGTTTCCTCAAAATTCTACATACAATACCCCATAATTACAATGTGAAAAAAGAGATTTTGAAATTATTTAAAATAAAAAAAGCTGAAAATCACATGTACATCAGTATTCACAGCCTTTGGCGTGAAGCTCTAAATTGAGCTCAGGTACATTCTGTTTCCACTGATCATTCTTGAGATGTTTCAGCAGCTTCATTGGAGTTCATCTGTGGTCAATTCAGTTGATTGGACGTGATTTGAAAAGGCATACACCTGTCTATATAAGGTCCCAGGGTTGATAGTGCATGACAAAGCACAAACCAAGCATGAAGACAAAGGAATTGTCTGTAGACCTCCAAAACAGGATTGTCTCGAGTCACAAGGCTAGGGAAGGTAACAGAAAATTTCTACTGCTCTGAAAGTTCCAATGAGCACAGCGGCCTCCATCATCCGTATCTGGAAGATGTTTGGAACCATCAGGATTCTTCCTAGAGCTGGCCGGCCATCTAAGCTGAGTGATCGGGGAAGAAGGGCTTAGTCAGGGAGGTGATCAATACCCCAATGGTCACTCTGTCTGAGCTCCAGCGTTCTTCTTTGGAGAGAAGAGAACCTTACAGAAGGACAACCATCTGTGCAGCAATCCACCAATCAGGCCTGTATGGTAGAGTGGCCAGACTGAAGCCACTCCCTGCCTGGAATTTGCCAAAAGGCATCTGAAGGACTCTCAGACCATAAGAAACAAAAGTCTCTGCTCTGATGAGACTAAAACTTAACTCTTTGGTGTGAATGCCAGGCGTTATGTTTGGAGAAAACGAGACACCGCTCATCACCAGGATAATATCACCCCTACAGTGAAGCATGGTGGTGGCAGCATCATGCTGTAGGGATGTTTTTCAGCAGCTGGAACTGGAAGACTAGTCAGGATAAAGGGACAGATGAATGCAGCAATGAACAGAGACATCCTGAATAAAAACCTGCTTCAGAGTGCTCTTGACCTCAAACTGAGGCGACGGTTCATCTTCCAGCAGGACAATGACCTAAAGCAGTTGCTCTCAAACTTTTTTCATCAAGTACCACCTCAGAAAAAAATTGTCTCTCCAAGTACCACCAAAATGAGCAGTATTGAAATACAGTAGCGTAGTTGGCCCAGTAAAGCCGCGACAACTCTGCACAGTTAAAAAAAACGTGGCAGATTACCTCAAAAATATAGGCTATATTTCATATATGGCATATTATATACATCATTTTTGGTAAATTTTGAAATGTGTGTAGCATGTACATGACATATTTCATTCCTCCGCGTACCACTAGAAGGAATCCTGCGTACCACTAGGGGTACACGTACCACAGTTTGAGAACCACTGACCTAAAGCACACCATCAAAATATCAATGGATTGGCTACACAACAACTCTGTGAATGTCCTTGAGTGGTCCAGCCAGAGCCCAGACCTGAATCCTATTGAACATCTCTGGAGAGATCTGAATATGGCTGTACACCGTCGCTTCTCATCCCACCTGATGGAGCTTGAGAGGTACTGCAAAGAGGAAAAATTCCCAAAGACAGGTGTGCCAAGCTTGTGGCATCATATTCAAAAAGACTTGAGGCTGTAATTGCTGCCAAAGGTGCATCAACAAAATATTGAGCAAAGGCTGTGAATACTTGTGTACATGTGATTTTTCTGCTTTTTTTTTATTTTTAACAATTTAAAAAACTATTTTTCCACATTGTCATTATGGGGTATTGTTTGTAGAACTTTGAGGAAAAAAAGTGAATTTAATCCATTTTGGAAAAAGGCTGTAACATTAAAAAATGTGGAAAAGGTGTAGTACCGTGAATACTTTCTGGATGCACTGTATCATGTCTCACCAGTGTCATCGTTTATTTTTGCTTAAGGTTTTGTAACGAGGCCCTTTTGTTACTATTGACACTACTTATCAATACTTATCAATCTTTGTGTGGTAGCTCAATAAAGCATGTATTTAGAGCTTTAAAGGTGCCATATACTGCATTGGTTCAATAAGTAAACTTGTTGTCTGATATCTACATAGTATGTATATGCCTAAATAAGTAAATAAACATCTCCAGAAATGGTTTTATATGCTCATCTATTACTCCATAATACACCCCTAGAATCAGAAGGTCCTCATTGACCATATTTGGATTGGTCATGAATACTAATGAGCTTCACTCTGACATGGATCGCTCACAGACACACACACACACACACACACGCTAATTTATCAAATGAAGTAGATGCCTAGTTTAATCTGTTTAACTCAGTGAGTGGATGTTTATTTACCTAAATGGAGAGAGTGAGTGAGCTCACTAATATAAACCCATCAGAGTAACGTTAGCCTATTTTGCTTATGAGATCTTTTGTGGATTAAAGCTAAATTATTATTAAACTTGACAAAAGAGGTAGATAGAGATGTTTTGTGTCGGTTTATTAAGGTATAAATTCAAAGAAAACACAGGCAGGAATTAATATTAACCTCTACATAATAGGATGACGTTCAAAAAAACATGCTGAATGATAAACATATTTGTTAATCTGAAGAAGAAAAAAACAATATTACAGTAAGTTTTTTTCCTTTGAAAACCTCTAGTCTGGAGCCAGGTAAAAAATAGGTATTTTAAATGTGGACTGCATTACCTAGTTTAACCAATAGGTGTCAATCCTGCATACTGCAAATTTAAGCAACAAAAGCAATAGGATGGGCTGCTTGTGATTCTGTTGCCGATTTTACCTTTATGTAAATTAATTGTGAGTTAAGTGAGCAGTTTTTGATTTCAGGATTCCCATAATCATTTAGATGGGAGTCTTGGATGAGCTGCCTGGTGGTGTTGCAAATATATAATAATATTGATTAATAATAATTCCTCATGTTTATATAGCGCTTTTCTGGACACTCAGAGCACTTTACACATTAGGGGGAATCTCCTTAACCACCACCTGTGTGCAGCATCCACCTGGATGACACCACAGCAGCCATGTAGCGCCAGACCGCACACCACACACCAGCTGATAGGTGGAGAAGAGACAGAGTGATGAAGCCAATTATGATATAGGGATGGTTAGGAGGCCATGATGGACAGACGCCAGTGGGCAAATTTGGCCAGGATGCAGAGATTAAACCCCTACCTTTTATCCTAGATTCTTAACAACCACAGAGAGTCGGGACCTCAGTTTAACGTCTCATCGGAAAGACGGCGCTCACTGGGCAGTAAAGATTCCCCTTCACTATACTGGGGCGTTAGGACCTGCTGGTCTCACAAACACCAATTCCGGCAGCAACCTAGCTTTCCTGACCAGGTGCAGCCCTGCTAGGCTTCAGTGGGTGACCGTGTGAGAGTTGCAGAGAGCTAGCTGCCAGCATATGACCACCATGTGACTAGACATTACTTGAAAGGGACTTTGGCATTTATTCAAAGCTAATATTAGACAGTTCACCCAAAATGAACATTCTGTCCTCATTCACTAACTCGCATCACATTGCAAACTAATGACTTGCTATCATCCATAGCCACATGAGATTTTTGTATATAGATGAAACGGGCTGCAGTGTTATTGATTTTTTGTTGTTGTTGGGATTATATGTTTAATTTATTGTCTTTTGCAAAAGATTTTTAAGTCAGATTTGAAAGATGAATTTAAATGATTAGCTATGTTTTCATCCAAAACGCAAAACAGGAATATCACATAAAAGACGTGCGAATAAAGCAGCGTTTCCATCCAACGAGTCAAAGAGGACAAAATAGTCACTAAAGTAAAAACGTATCAAAAGTAAAAACAGAATTTGCTGCAGTAGGAGAAGCTGTGTAAATCTTTTCTTTATTTAATTAATGCCCTGTGCCTCAAAAGACAAAAAGCTGACATGTAATGAATGAGTGTTGGCGTTTAAAGGCATGGGACGCGGAGCACAGACGCTCTTGACAGTTCTGAAGGTCATTAATAATCGAATAACACTATGGTTAAGGTGTTTTAGAATGACCAAAACAACATTTCAGATGTTTTACAATGTGCTCAGCCTGCTGGTTTGTCCATTCACATGCATTTTTATCATCACACGATCTCTTATAACAAAATCACATGACTTTTGTTCGTACACATGCTGGAATTTTTTCAGTAAAAGTGTTTCCACCATAGTTTATGTGCATCTTTTCTTATCGAACAAAAGTTTATCCTACTCAGTCATGCGCATAGGTTTTTTATGTGCATTTCCATTTTATGTGCATATCTAAAATGCAGATAAAAATAGGTGAATGGAAACATAGCTAATGATCCGTCCCCTCAAAATGTGGTCAGTACTGTAGACCTGAATTAATTCACAAATCCTATCGATAAGAAGTGTTTGTTTCCTAATTTTAGACTGGGCCTTGTAAAATAAAAAAAAGATAAAAATAAACAAAAACAAGAAAATCTGGCATCCATCCAGAAAACCGTAGCAAGGAAATGTGAAATAATATAAAAATAAATACTGAGGACAGTTGAAAATAATTATGCAACCTAGGATTGTCACAATATTTCTGTGTGTAATATGACTCTTGACATAATATGACAAGAAACAAGAAACCCTAATATTTAAACCCTAAAAATGAAATAGTATAAATGTATGAAACAGAATTTATATATATATATATATATATATATATATATATATATATATATATATATATATATGGGGTGACACGGTGGCTCAGTGGTTAGCACTGTCACCTTACAGGGGTTATAAATATTTATATTAATATTTATATTAATAATTGTGATATAATTATTTATTATAATTATTTTTTATTAATAATTGTGATATAATTATTTATTATAATTATTTTTATTAATAATTGTGATATAATTATTTATTAAATTATTTTTTATTAATAGTTGTGATATAATTATTTATTATAATTATTTTATTAATAATTGTGATATAATTATTTATTATAAATATTTATATTAATAATTGTAATAATAGATTGTATCGTGACCTATGTATCGTTATATGTTTCATATCGTGAGGCCCTTGCCAATACACAGCCCCTATACACAGGCCTAACGTCCGCCTGTTCCTGCCTCAAAATGAGCGAGTTTGAATCATCTGTACATTAAGGAAGCGTTCAGAAAAAACAGCAGTGAAGAAACTCGACACAGAGGAACATAAACGCCAGCTAGCGTTTCGGGAGTGTTATTGCAGAGCAACAGAAACAGCGCGCAGAAGTATGAATGCACAGCTATGAGTGTTCCATGCGATGTGGGTCACGCCGATCACTTGACGCAGAAGTATAAACCAGGCTTTAAGCCGAAGGAACATGAATGAAATCAGGTTTATTTATCAACCACTCAAAGATTATTGGTGATTATGGACTGCATTTTAGTCAGTAAGCTCTCATGAGGCTGTAGATGACTTTTGATATCTTTTATGTATAGTATAACTCATTTTTTTAGTACATTTCTGTTCTTTCTGGAGCTTGTTAGACACATCCACTCTCGCTCCTTTATTCTCGTGCTCCACAAATGGCTTTAAACTGACATGAATGTAATTAATGGCTGTGTTTTTCATTTTTGGAGTGAAGCTTTCCTTTAGCAGGGATTTGTGAGCGATTATTGATTTTCATGTCTGAATTTTGCACCGCAGCAGGTTCTGCTCTTTTGCTTCAGGTTCATTCCACAGCTATTCATTAAAGAATAAATGCGCATCAAACAACGGCCACAAGTACATCTAACAGCGTGCTTTCACTCAGGTCCTGTAATCTCATTGTGGCGCAGTCGTTCTATGAATATGATTTTACAGACTGCAGCTTTGATGATAGTTTGTGCTTGACTGCTTTAGAAGGTTGACTTCACTGCCGTATGTTAGGCGGCTCGGTGGCTCAGTGGTTAGCTCTGTCACCTCACAGCAGGAAGGTAGCTGGTTCCCGACTGAGTCAGTTGGCATTTTTGTGTGGAGTCTGCATGTTCTCCCGTGTTGAGTGCTCTGATTTCCCCCACAGTCCAAACACATGCACTATAGGTGAATTGAATAAACTGGCCATAGTGTATGAGTGTGTGTGTGAATGTGAGAGTGTATGAATGTGTTCCAGTACTGGGTTGCACCTGGAAGGGTATCTGCAGCATAAAACATATGCTTGAATAGTTGGCAGTTCATTCCTCTGTGGCGACCCCTGATGAATAAACGGACTAAGCTGAAGGAAAATCAATGAATGAATGAACATTTTATTTTTAAGCTCTCCTCATTTTTGCTGACCCTTTTTAATCCAACTATATTTTGTTTCCAGAGCTTACATGGTTATTTTCAATAATCCTCTAAGCATAATTTCATATTTCATAATTCATGGTTGCTAGGGGGTTGCTGTGCAGTTGCTAGGCTGTTCTTAGCATTTCAGTGATTTGTTAAAAGAATGATTCTAAGCATTCAGAACAAAACAAATGCATTTATTTTATATATGGGTCAAGAATGAAAAGGGGTTTAGAAGAATTAAAACAAGAAGGGTTTTCCCCTACAAAATGTCAACTTTAACTCAGAAAATAATGAGTTTTCCATGATTCACACACAAATTATTAATGTAACAAGAGTTTTTAAAATTCAAGTTGCCTTTTATTTAAATTCAATTAATCACAATAAAAGCAAATGGCTTCCTCAGACTAAAGTCAACTGATTCGTTTACTTTAAAAAGTGAGTAAACCCTTCGCTTTTAAAAATCAACTAATCAGTTTATTCACTTTTTACATAAAGACAACTCTTCTAAAACAAAGGGTTCAATCAGTTTAGGAACAGAAGCTAAAGTTAATTAATCACTTTAAAAGAAAATGGTTTACATTTAAGTCTACTTTTCACTTTAAAAGCAACAGGTTTATTCACATTAAGTAAAGTCAACTAATCGCTTTAAAAGCAATGGGTTTACTCACTTTTACTCAACTAATCGCTTTAACAGCAACAGGTTTACTCACTTTAGGTAAAGTAAACTAATCGCTTTAAAAGAAATGGGTTTACTTTAACTCAACTAAGCGCTTTAAAAGCAACGGGTTTACTCACTTTAACTCAATTAATCGCTTTAAAAGCAACAGGTTTACTCACTTTAGGTAAAGTAAACTAATCGCTTTAACAGCAACAGGTTTACTCACTTTAAGTAAAGTAAACTAATCGCTTTAAAAGCAACGGGTTTACTCACTTTAACTCAACTAATCGCTTTAAAAGCAACGGGTTTACTCCATTCAACTCAACTAATAGCTTTAAAAGCAACAGGTTTACTCACTTCAAGTAAAGTAAACTAATCGCTTTAAAAGCAACAAGTTTACTCACTTATTTCAAGTAAAGTCAACTAATCGCTTTAAAAGCAACAATTTTACTCACTTTAACTCAACTAATCGCTATAAAAGTAACGGGTTTACTTTAACTCAACTAAGTGCTTTAAAAGCAATGGGTTTACTCACTTTAACTCAACTAATTGCTTTAAAAGCAACGGGTTTACTCACTTTAAGTAAACTAATCGCTTTAAAAGCAACGGGTTTACTCACTTTAACTCAACTAATCGCTTTAAAAGCAACGGGTTTACTCCATTCAACTCAACTAATCGCTTTAAAAGCAACAGGTTTACTCACTTCAAGTAAAGTAAACTAATCGCTTTAAAAGCAACAAGTTTACTCACTTATTTCAAGTAAAGCCAACTAATCGCTTTAAAAGCAACAATTTTACTCACTTTAACTCAACTAATCGCTATAAAAGTAACAGGTTTACTTACTTTAACTCAACTAAGTGCTTTAAAAGCAATGGGTTTACTCACTTTAACTCAACTAATTGCTTTAAAAGCAACGGGTTTACTCACTTTAAGTAAACTAATCGCTTTAAAAGCAATGGGTTTACTCACTTAAACTCAGCTAATCGCTTTAAAAACAACAGGTTTACTCACTTTAACTCAACTAATTGCTTTAAAAGTAACAGGTTTACTCACTTTAAGCAAAGTAAACTAATCGCTTTAAAAGCAACAAGTTTACTCACTTTAACTCAACTAATCGCTTTAAAAGTAACAGGTTTACTCACTTTACCTCAACTAATCGCTTTAAAAGCAACGATTTTACTCACTTTAACTCAACTAATCGCTTTAAAAGTAACAGGTTTACTCCATTTAACTCAACTAATCGCTTTAATAGCAACAGGTTTACTCACTTTAAGTGAAGTCAACTAATCGCTTTAAAAGTAACGGGTTTACTCACTTTAACTCAACTAATCGTTTTAATAGCAACAGGTTTACTCACTTTAAGTAAAGTCAACTAATCGCTTTAAAAGTAACAGGTTTACTCACCTTAACTCAACTAATCCCTTTAAAAGCAACGGGTTTACTCCATTCAACTCAACTAATTGATTTAAAAGCAATGGGTTTACTCATTTTTAGTCAACTAATTGCTTCACAAGCAATAGGTTTACTCACTTTAACTCAATTAATCGCTTTAAAAGCAACGGGTTTACTCCATTTAACTCCACTAATCAATTTAAAAGCAATGGGTTTACTCACTTTAACATAACTAATCTCTTTACAAGCAATAGGTTTACTTACTTTAAGTAAAGTCAACTAATCGCTTTAATAGAAACGGGTTTACTCCATTTAACTCAACAAATCAATTTTAAAGCAACAGGTTTACTCACTTCAACTCAACTAATCGCTTTAAAGGCAATAGATTTACTCACTTTAACTCAACTAATCACTATAAAAGCAATAGGTTTAGTCACTTTTTTTAACATAAAGTCAACTAATCGCTTCCGAAACAAAGAGTTTACTCAGTTTAAATAGTAAACTAATCACTTTAAAAGTAAAGGGTTTACTCACTTTAACTCAACTAATCGCTTTAAAAGCAATGGGCTTACTAACTTTTTACGTAAAGTCAACTAATCGCTTTACGTAAAAAGTGAGTAAACCCATTGCTTTTAAAGTCAACTAATCACTTCCAAAACAAAGGATTAAAACTGAATTCAACTAATAATTTTAAAAGCAAATGGCTAACTCACAATAAAGTCAACTAATTCCTTTAAAAGCAACTAGTTAACTCACTTAAAGTAAACTCAACTAATCGGTTTAAATGCAACAAGTTTACTCAATATTTTTAAGTCAAGTCAAATAATTGCTTAATCACTTTTAAACACCAAATAACTTTTTATAGTGTACCAACCCAATGGTTGCATTAAAAATATAACGTAAAAATGCAACCCAAAAACTGCACTAGTCCAATTTGGTTCAAAACAACTCAGCATTTAATATAGTAAAGCATTCCAGATTTACAAACTCCATAACTGAAAAGTATGTTAGTCATGCCCAATGCCTCATACAGACGTAGAGAACTGCAAACAAACAGGAAGCGCATTTTCAGGTTTTAATTTTAAATTATAAGGTCAAACTATTTATTTCCTAATGACATGCACAGATGAATTGTTCACCACAAAACTAACAATGTGAGCTAACAAAATCAATTTCGATTTCATATGTACTTTGAAACCTTGGTGAAAGACTGAGGCATTGGCAAATGACTCAGCCAATTGAAATCTCTTTTGTTTCATGCAGTTTTTCCCCTACGGCGACGCATCCAAGTTCGCTCAGCACGCATTCAGGACCTTTGACAAGAACAGCGACGGCACGATTGACTTCAGAGAGTTCATCTGCGCCCTGTCCATCACGTCACGGGGAAGCTTTGAACAGAAGCTCAACTGGGCTTTTAACATGTATGACCTGGACGGAGACGGCAAGATCACTCGAGTGGAGATGCTGGAGATCATAGAGGTGCACAAACACACTCATCTGCAGCCCTTTAAACAAGCACTTTCCACAAATAGGGTGCAGAACCAGAGCAGCAGGAGGGCAAACTAAATAATGCATGAGCTGATGGATTTTCTATTTATTCTATATGAGGATTTGTGCTGCCAACAGTCAATTAGAGGCTCTTTTTATACATATTTGTGCTTTTATTTATGATACCTTTAGGAAAACTCTTTGTATGAACATATCTAATACAGTCTAATGTAACACATATACAGTTAAAGTCAGAATTATTCACCCCCCTGTTTAGTTTTTTCCCAATTTCTGTTTAACGGAGAGAAGATTTTTTTCAACACATTTCTAAACACAATAGTTTAATAAATCATTTGTAATAACTGATTTATTTTATCTTTGCCATGATGACAGTAAATAATATTTGACTAGATATTTTTCAAGACACTTTTATACAGCTTAAAGTGACATTTAAAGGCTTAACTAGGTTAATTAGGTTAACTAGGCAGGTTAGGGTAATTAAGTTACCAAGTTATTGTATAACAATGTTTTGTTCTGAAGACAGTCGAAAAAAGAATTAGCTTAAAGGGGCTAATAGTTTTAACCTTAAAATGGTGTTTCAAAAATTAAAAACTGCTTTTATTCTTGCCAAAATAAATCAAATAAGACTTTTGCTAGAAGAAAAAATGTTATCAGACATACTGTGAGAATTTTCTTGCTCTGTTAAACATAATTTTGGAAATATTTAAAAACAAAAAAAAAACAAAAATATCAAAAGGGGGCTAATAATTCTGACTTCAACTGTATATTACAAATCTAAATGTCACTAATTAGTGCATTTATTTCCACTAAATTTGTTTTCATCTCATAGTATTTATAATAAAAAGAAATAAAAAAAAAGATGAAGCTTCTTTATTTTACTAAACTCTAATTTAGGACATAACTTAAATTTTGACTTATGATATATACATTAATAAACACATAAACCATGGCAGCCTGGGAAACAAAGCTGCAGATTCTTCCTTAATTAGTACTTTTATTTCCAATTAAGAGTTAATTTAGAGTTATCTAAGAACATAAACAATACAATATGATCTAATGCTTTAATAGTGAAGGCGATACATTGATTTTATGTAAGGTTTGCAAATACACTGTTGTACACTGTAAAACCCAATATGTTAAGGCAACTTAAGCTATTTGAGTAAACCGATTGCAACAAATCATTTAAGTTCTAAAAGTAATCCTAATGAGTACTGTGAATTTAATCCATTTAAGTAAACGAAGCAATTTGAGCAGAGTAAACCCATTAAATTAAGTCAAACCAACAGAGTACGGCAAAACCCAATAGGTTAAGAGAACTCAAACCGTTTAAGGAAACTGATTGCTACAAACCATTTGAGTTAAACTAATCTATATGAGTGCTGTAAACGTACTCCATCCAAGTTGAAGTATGAGGTACTTAATTAACTCATTACTTTCAACGTTGAGTCCAAAACTCTTTCCATATGAGTAGAATTAACTTTCAGTCAATTTTGAGTTAAATACACTTAGTTTCCTTTGATAAAGTTGACTGTTGGGGTTTACAGTGTAATAAAGTAAATGCATCTTTATTTAGTGCTTTTATTTTCAGTTAGTGAGTAACAATTAAAAAAAAATAGTCCTCATTCTTTTAAAAAAGTTGTAAACATAAAATTATTTTTTGTATGAGGTTTGAAATATTTGCAGCTCAAATGTAAGACATTGTAACAGGATTTTTATATTTGAGTCTTAAGAATTAAGCAAAGAAATAAAGATCAGAATGAGTTACAAAGCTGGAAATTCATTGCCAGTTATTGCTTTTATTTAATAAAAGTAATATAATAAAAACAATATAACAATAAACTGAATACACTTATTTGTATGATCAAATAATATTGAGTTCTTCAATATTAAAAACAAAAAAGTGGTTAATTTTATTTTAAAATCATATTTATGAGGCTTACAGAGTCCCATTGTTTTGATATTTGATCAATAAACATGAAATAAAATAACAAATAAATCCAAATAAATCTTCAGATTACAACAGATTTAAGAAAACTCCCCATACGATCATTTCAAATAATTCTCATGACTAAATACTTATCACCTTTACAGTTTAAGCAGATTTATTAAAAAAATTATTTATTTATGGAAAGCACTAATTGCAAAAATCACAGATGATTTTATTTGTTACACAAATCCACACAAATTAGCAAACAATTCTCCAAAACATTAAATACTGTAGTTAAGAATAGCCATTAGATTGAAGTATTGAGTAATCAAGTATTAATTCCTAAATTCTATGATAGAAGCATATTTTAAGCAATCTACACGCCTTTTGCACAGTGAACAGCGATTAGTTGACTTTACTTAAAATAAGTGAGTAAACCTGTTGTTTTTTAAAAGATTACTTAACTTTCCTTAAAAAATGAGAGAACCCGTTATCTTACAAGTTTTATGTAAATCATGTGCAAGTAAAGTATATTAATAATTATAAAAATTAAGCTACAGTTCCAAATTACTACAGGTTTACTCATTTAAAAGCAACAAGATTACTCACTTATTTTCAGTAAAGTCAACTAATCGCTTTAAAAGCAACCTGTTTACTTAGTTATTTCAAGTAAAGTCAAATATTCACTTTAAAAGCAACAGGTTTACTCACTTATTTCAAGTAAAGTCAACTATTCGCTTTAAAAGCAACAGTTTTACTTACTTATGGAAAATAAAGTCAACTAATCGCTATAAAAGTAACAAGTTTACTCACTTATTTCAAGTAAAGTCAACTATTCGCTATAAAAGCAACAGGTTTACTCACTTATGGAAAATAAAGTCAACTATTCGCTTTAAAAGCAACAGGTTTACTCACTTATTTCAAGTAAAGTCAACTATTCGCTTTAAAAGCAACAAGTTTACTCACTTATTTCAAGTAAAGTCAACTAATCGCTTTAAAAGTAACAGGTTTACTCAGTTATTTCAAGTAAAGTCAACTACACTGAAAAAAATTATTCAAAGATGATTCCTTGGATTTACTTAATTTTTTTTTACGTTAAGTGGTTGTAAACAATTTAATTGTGTTAAATTTAAATAAACTAATTAAGTTGAACATTATTCAATTTAATTTGATTGTTTAAATTCAACACAAATAAATTGTTTGCAACAGTTCTCCATGCAACACTTTTTTTCAGTGTATTCGCTCTAAAAGTAACAGGCTTACTCACTTATTTGAAATAAAGTAAACTATTCGCTTTAAAAGCAACAGGTTTACTCACTTATTTAAAATAAAGTCATCTATTCGCTTTAAAAGCAACATGTTTAATCACTTGTTTCAGAGTAAAGTCAACTATTCGCTTTAAAAGCAACGAGTTTACTCACTTATTTTAAGTAAAGTCAACTAATTGCTTAAAAAGCAACAGGTTTACTCACTTATTTTAGAGTTAAGTCAACTAATCGCTTTAAAAGCAACATGTTTACTCACTTATTTTAAGTAAACAAACAAATTCTTTTAAAAGGAACATATTTACTTACTCTTTTCACGTAAAGTCAACTAATCATTTTAAAAGCAACAGGTTTACAAGTGAAATAAATAATCACTTTTTTATAGTGTGATGGTGTCATTAAATGTAAATGTTTTCTCCTGTTTGTGCGAAAGGCGATATATAAGATGGTGGGCACGGTGATCATGATGAAGATGAACGAGGATGGTCTGACACCCGAGCAGAGAGTGGACCGGATCTTCAGCAAGATGGATAAAAACAACGACGACCAGATCACACTAGACGAGTTCAAAGAGGCGGCCAAGAGCGACCCGTCCATCGTCCTGCTGTTGCAGTGCGACATGCAGAAGTGAGGACGCGCATGCTAGCATGACCCGGACTGATCCACGCTCATTTTCCACCCAGAGTCACTGGACTACTTTTAAACGAACTTTTATTCTTGTGATCTGACAACTAGTATGCATGAGAATGTTAAACGCTAAAAGAGTTTAGAGTATATCCGTTTAATTTGCGACATGCATTAAAAACAACGCTAGACGACGTATAAATTAAAACCAGTCTGGTTGTTCTTTCACGCATCCATCGTCAGTGAAGTGCTCTGCTGTATTTCATTTCTAGCCGCAATACTCGCGAACACACACACACACACTGCCGTATTCTGAGTTTTGGACACCCAAACACGTCACACTTAAATGTAACGATGAAAAATCAGTCTGTTGAACTTCAATACTCTGAAATTAAAAGAAAGGAGGGCCCTGAGGTTTATGCAGCCCTCCTTCCAAACGTGCTTGTACTTGAGAATATAAATGTAAAAGTTATTTGCATGCATGTCCTAAGTGTACAAAAAAAAACTTCATTTCGGCAACCTTGACGAATAATACAAGGGAGGCCTTATATAAATGATAGTATCGATAACAATACTAATGTGTGAGATTGACATTCGTTGCTCATCCGTCCCATTAGATGTCCTCCCTCGGGTGCATGTTTCCTCTTAAAAACTGTGTGTTGTAAATGCTTTCGGTTTCCGCCTTCGTCTTTGTTGGATTCACTATTTCTTTTTTGCACAAACACGAGGAGCAAGGTTATTATAGTTAACGAAAACAAATGAAAAAACGAAAACTTCAATTGAAAAACATTTCAACAAAAATTATAGCAAAACGTCGTTTTTGTCTTTGTACATGTATTTAATACATACTGTAAGCCTCATAGAAGTAAATCTATTTGCTTTGCACTGCCAGTTTTATGACAGGTGTTTGACCTGTACGGCACCTCAGAGTCTGTAATCCTTATGCCGTTGGCAAGATCAAGCCGGTCCTCCTCTAGTCATCCTCGCTGTTGTCCCGTGACAAAAACAACGGCTAGACGTGACAGCAGCACAGTGACAACTTAAATACGACTCTAGCAGACACTTAAAAATATTAATTTAACACGTTTGTGCCTATAATGGGTTTTATTTCCGTATTAGTGATCGCAAATCATTAATTTTAACCGGATCTTCTTGCTGAACCAGTTAAACTAATTCAACAAACAGAATCATTTGAAACGATTCGCGTCTCAGGTAATGTTAAGCACATATTCACACACTACTTTTCCCCTCTGACTCGAAATAAACCAATATATACTGAGTTATTCAGTTATTAGAACAGCGCACTGAGCTCAGATTTGAGAAGCGGTGAACTGATAATACTGCGCATACGTGATTCAGCCGAGGGTGAATTGAACACAAGCAGTACATGACAGCCTGCTGTTACTGAACTAAACTGCATCGCAGGTAAACCGAGGGCTTAAATAAGAGGATCTTGCGAAACGTAAGTTTATTTCATAGCAGAAAATTGTAGTGGAATTTAAATAAGTGAATCATGATTCAGTTGGGTTGCAAAACTTTACTGTAAGAAACTTTTCAGATCATGGTGATGTTGTAACTGATTAAAATTATAATTGCTGACTATATATTTTTGATACAGTTGAAGTCAGAATTATCAGGTGAGAAGATTTCTTCAAAACATTTGTAAACGTAATAGTTTTAATAAATCATTTCTAAAAACTGATTTATTTTCTCTTTGCCATGATGAAAGTAATTAATATTTGACTAGATATTTTTCAAGACATTTCTATACAGCTTAAAGTGACATTTAAAGGCTTAACTAGGTTAATTAGGTTAACTAGGCAGGTTAGGGTAATTAGGCAAGTTATTGTATAACAATGGTTTGTTCTGAAGACTATCGAAAAAAACTTGCCTAAAGAGGCAATAAACTTTGACCTTAAAATGGTGTTTAAAAAATGTAAAACTGATTTCATTCTAGCCGAAATAAAACAAATACGACTTTCTCCAGAAGAAAAAATATTATCAGATTTCCATTAAACATTATTTGGGAAATATTTCAAATAAATAATAAATAATAATAATAATAATAATAATAATAATAATAATAATAATTAATAAATTCAAAGGGGGGCTAATAATTCTGACTTCAACTGTATGTTAAGTCCAAGTGAAGTTTCACAAACTAATTTCGATAGGAGCACGTGATAAGATTGACTACAGATGATCCCTATCACTAATCACTAATTAGCCATTCGGATGATTCTAAATTTAAAATTGTCGTTGGCCCAAACATTAGCTGAGCCAGTCGACACTCTCTGTGCGGAGTTTGCATGTTCTCCTCGTGTTCGCCTGGGTTTTCCTCTGGTACTCGGGTTTCCTCCACCTACTACGTACAACTGGCGCAATTAGTGGTCTACTCATGGGAAGTTATCGAGAACTACCTGATCTCGTATCCCTCCTAATGCTTATTGACCAGGCGGGAGCCTTGGGCTCATCTATCTTTGAGCTCAGGGTTCTCTCCCGGGACAGCATGCCAAACCTGCTGAAATAGTCAAGTATTATCTGAGTGTGAACTCTTGACACATGGGAAGATTGTTACAAAAGATCCATTTAAGATCTGAACTTCCCATCACTACTGTGTATCTAACCTCAGAAGCAGCCTTGCACACATGATGTACTTAGGGCTGCTATCTTGTGGGCTGTTGTATTTGAATTTGAGGATGGGTAGATGGTAGTGTTCTCGTGTCAAAAAACCAAAACAAAACGTAGCCAATCTTTGGTTGAGTTTTTATTAAACAATATTTATTTTGATGATTTTAAATCTTGCACCTAACAAATATCCTTTTATTTACAAAAAAACTGAACTAAACCTAAGCAATTTCAAACTATAGACCCTTATAAAGCTAGTAACTCTACCCTTTAAAAACTAAATAAAATGAACTGAATTTGAAAATAAGACGTCAAAACAAAATAAAATCTAAAACTAATGAAAAATCCAAAACTATTATAACCTTGATGAGGACCAACGTATTTATTTATGTATTTATTTTGTTTACATCGCAGTTTTTGTGTTTACTTTGCACTACATCGTCGTCACATGCATGAATGGTTGCCTGTGAATTAGTTTTCAGTAATAATACTACTAAAAAGGGCAATATAATACATTTTTAAGTGCGTTTAGCAATGAATCTGCTTCCCCTGTTATTACGACGACGGAAATAAAAACCTGAAATGGGTTTGGTACATGTTTACTCTTAATACACTGCGTTTGTATTGTAAAACACTATTTCTACTCTACATTTTTAACCCTGGAAGTCCCCGCTTTGTTTAGTTTATCCTCCACATTTTTGCGTTCTTCCGTCAATCCCCTTCAGTGGCAGAGAAAAGGCACATCTTTGTAAAATGCAACTGGCCAAAATGAATAGTGTGTATCTTTGCCCTGTAAATATTTGTACCTACTACGGTAAAAGCCAAATTTAAGCAGTCATTGACTTGTGTAATATGAGTTTGTGTGTTTTATTTGTGGCATGTCTTCAACTTGGTCTGTAACAGTTGCACTGACAACATTGTGATTAAAATCAATAAACTATCTATGGGTTGTTTTCAGAACACAGGTGTTTAGTGTGTGTGTGTGTGTGTGTCTGTGTCTCTGTGTGTGTGTGTGTGTGTGTGTGTGTATGTGTGTGTGTGTCTGTGAATGTTTCTGTTTGTGTGTGTGTGTTTGTGAGTGTGTTTCTGTGTGTGTGTTTGTGAGTGTGTTTCTGTGTGTTTTGTACGTGTTTTTTGTGTGTGTGTGTGTGTGTCTGTGAGTGTTTCTTTGAGTGTGTTAGTGTTTGTGTGAGTGTTTGTGAGTGTGTTTGTGTGTGTGTGTGTTATGTATGTGTTTCTGTGTGTTTCTTTGAGTGTGTGTGTGTTTCTGTGTGAGTGTGTATGTTTGTGTGTGTGTTTCTGTGATTGTGTTTCTATGGGTGTGTGTTTGTGAGGGTGTGTGTGTTTGTGTATTGTACATGTGTGTCTGTGAGTGTGTGTGTGTGTGTGTGTGTGTGTGTGTGTGTGTGTGTGTGTGTGTGTTTTTTGAGTGTGTGTTTCTTTGAGGGTGTGTGTCTCTGTGTGTATGTGTTTGTGTTTCTGCGTGTGTGTTTGTAAGTGTGTTTCTGTTTGTGTGTGTGTATGTTTTGTATGTTTCTGTATGTGTTTCAGTGTGTTTCTATGAGTGTGTGTGTGTCTGTGTGTGTGTGTTTGTAAGTGTGTTTCTGTGTGTGTTTTATGTGTTTGTTTGTGTGTGTGTGTGTGTGTGTGTGTCTGTGAGTGTTTCTTTGAGTGTGTGTGTGTGTGTGTGTGTGTGTGTGTGTGTGCTTCTGTGTGTGTTTGTTTCTGTGAGTGTGTTTCTGTGTGTGTCTGTGAGTGTGTTTGTGTGTGTTTTGTACGTGTGTTTCTATGTGTGTGTGTCTGTGACTGTTTCTGTCAGTGTGTGTGTGTGTATGTATGTTTGTGTGTTTCTGTGTGTGTGTGTGTGTGTGTGTGTATGTGTTTGTGAGTGTGTTTCTGTGAGTGTGTGTGTTTGTAAGTGTCTTTATGTTTGTGTTTCTGTGTGTGTCTGAGTGTTTGTGAGTGTGTGTGTGTGTGTGTTTGTGAGCATGTTTTTGTGTGCTTTTTGTACGTGTGTTTATGTGTGTGTGTGTGTGTGTGTGTGTGTGTGTGTGTGTGTGTGTGTGTGTGTGTGTGTGTGTGTGAGCGTGTTTTGTTCTGAATACCGCACTCAATGTGTCTTTGAGTGTGTGTGTTTCTGTGAGTGTGTATGTATGTTTGTGTGTGTGTGTATGTGTTTATGAGTATGTTTCAGTGAGTGTTTTGTGTGCGTGTTTCTGTGGGTGTGTGTGTGTTTGTAAGTGTGTTTCTGTTTGTGTGTTTGTCTGTTAGTGTGTTGTATCTGTGTTTCTGTGTGTGTGTCTGAGTGTCTGTGTTTGTCTGTGAGTATGTTTCTGTGAATGTTTCTGTGTGAGTGTGCATGTGTGTTTTTGTGAGTGTGTTTCTGTGTGTGTTTTGAATGTGGTTTAGTCTTTCAGTGTGTGTGTGTGTGTGTGTGTGTGTGTGTGTGTGTGTGCGTGTGTGTGTGTGTGTGTGAGACCAAAAAAATGCAATGGTTAACAATAACGAGGAACAGTTCTGTGGTTTATAACAGGGGATGCTGGTTTCAGCTGATAAACACTAAAGGTGAACACACTCAAACTGTCATCAGCAGGTGTGAACAGATACAAACTCCACATTTTCAGCTAAATAACAGATGAGTAAGAAATGATGTGAAGGAAGCCTGAGAAATGTTAAAACATCAGTAAAACACTAAACTATTTTTCCTTATATCACTAAAATGTTTTTCTGAAAATAAATAAAAGCAAATGTATACAGACATACAGTACAAACTTTACACATTTTCCAGTGCGGTCTCTTCAAGTGATACATATGTGTGTGTGTGTGTATGTGTACCTAATGTACTTCTCACTCCTCCTCAGTGTCTTTCTCTGGATCCTGAAGCTGGTGGATTGTGATGTTGGTGCTTTTAGGAAGTTGGCTGAAAAAAAATACAGGAAAAACATTAATATTTATATGCAGTTAAGTCAGAATTATTCTGTATATTCATATTCCCATTCATTTATATATATATATATATATATACACACACACACACACACACACACACACACAACAGTTCTGTCTGTTCTTGAATCTGATTGGCTGATAGCCGTGCAATATTTTGCCAGTAACATCACACAAAGGCCTCTTCACCTGTGTATTACTCCGCCCATATACAGCAAGCAACAAGCAGGCTACAGTTTGAAAAATATTACTGTTGTTAGACAACAAAATGTACTTTTGAGACTTTTTTAGTTGAGAATGTAGTTGTTTAGATTGCAACTAAGCATTTTATTTGTAAGAATAGTGCCTATTTTAAAATATTTACAATTTCTGAGACCTCGTTGGCGGCGGATGACGTTGTCTATCCACAAGATGGCGCCAGAACCGCATAATAAGCTCAGTGTGTTCTCTTGAAAAACAGAAGCCTTGTGGTTTTTAAGGTGGACCGGATATAGTCAATAAGAAGCTGCGAATAAGAAGCTGGATTCAGCCTTGTCCCTCCTTATCGCAAACACAACAGCAGTCTGGTCTGAAGTCTAGTCTGGTGAGAAATCTCTGTAGACAGATGGCATTTCATGTCACGTTCAGCCTTATAATCTTAAAATGTGAGCAAAATTTGCTGTTTTGTCATCACCTTAAGGGGGTCACACACCAGAAGCACCAATTCACATTACGCTATAGAGAATCATTCAAATACTAGCTATAAAGTGATGTTGGTGAATTAGTAACGCTTCTGCTGTTCTGACGTCAGCTGCAGATGTGAATGAATGGCGGAAGAAATTAGTTCCTAATACAAAAGGGTTTTAGACTGTGTGTTTGATTTTCTTTTTTATGTACAAGATTGTGCCGTAAACTATTGTATAAACGCAATATAACACTTGTAGCAGTGTGCTATGGCTAAATATCAGCACTGGTGGGAGGCGTGCTTTGGCACGAGGCTGCAGGCCGAGGCCGAGTGCCTTAGCGCCCCACCAGTGCTGATGTACAGTCATAGCACACTGCTACAAGTGCGACATTGCGTTTATACAATAGTTTGACGGCACAATCTTGTACATAAAAAAGAAAATCAAACACAGCACTTTAAAAAACACACTAACCACTGAGCCATCGTGTCACCCTAGTCATGTTCAAAGAACTTTGATAAAAGTTATTAAATTCTAAATTGGTAAAATTCAAATGCAAAATATTTATAAAATGTGCATTATTTGTCATAGTTCTGGTATGGGTACATGTATCTTCTTTACACTGGCTGCCTGTTAAGTTCCGTATTGATTATAGAATGCTTCTTACCTATAAAGCTTTAAATAGTCTAGCTCCTGTTTATCTAACAAACCTTCTGTTTCGCTACAATCCAACCTGCTCTTTAAAGGGCACCTATGGTGACAAATCTACTTTTCAAGTTGTCTGGACAGACATGTGTATTAATATAGTGTATAGACTGTCATATTGGGGTGATATAAACACACAGTCCTTTTTTTTTAATTTAACAACATAAAAACGGTGGACCAATTGGAGCGGTTTTTAGATCGACCGCAACTTTACGTAGGAGTGCGATCCCCCCGCCCACCAATATTGATTGACAGGTGGGTGTCACCATATCCTCAGTTTGTCGTTTCACGTCCGCCATTTTCAGCGTGTGAGTCAAAGCGGTGTCGCTAGAGGAACACTCTTGCTCTATTTTTAGATGTAAGGCTCATTGGGCTCAACACAATTTTAGCAATCGGTAGGTTTGCAAACATGTTTACTTTTCATTGCGTCTACCTTAAACTTCAGCCGTTTGCATTTCTCGAGGTCACAGAAGCTCCCTGTGAGTGTGATCTTAACTAGGTGCAGTTGGAAAGTGCGGGCGCCTTTGCCTCACATGGTGTCGCTTTGTTGCTGTGTGTGTGTGTGTGTGTGTGTGTGTGTGTTTGTGTGTGTGTGAGAGAGAGAGAGAGAGAGAGAGACACCTTTGTGCTGCTGTCTGTGTGTGTGTGTGTATGTGTGTAAGAGAGAGAGAGAGAGAGAGAGAGAGAAAGAGCGTGCTTATGTGTGTGTGCTTACACAGACAGCTTGTTATAGGGTGGTTTTCGGTTTTGTTCTCCCCCCGCTTGTTGGGCGCGGCAGGTAGTGGGACAGCACATGCTGAATATGAGCGGGAGCGGTCAAATTCGGGCAAGAACCTGGCGGGATTCAATATTTAGTCCCGCGCTGATCTCTACCACAGAGTGCCATCTGAACATGCAAATGTCCATGTCTGGTGTGCCATGTCGCGGCTCTAAGCGGGGCGGTCATCCGGTGCCTCAGTCAAAGGTAATTCAGTGTGCGTCGTAATTAGTCTGTGTACAAGCTCGACACTTGCACACAGTTGGCTGAGAAACTATACAAAGACACAAATGATTGTGTACCCTCTGCTTGGTCTGTGGCCGAGGCTGAATGCTCATCTTCTCATGCAGCGTCTCTGTCTGCCTGCTTGTTCCCAAACACAGAGCGGGCGAGCTCTTGGCTCCGCTCCCTTGTTAAGTTGGGCGGGAATTTTAAACTAATTTTCATGTGAAGCTGCACGCCCCTTATACAGCATACTGTGTAAACGCCCCCAAAATAACACTTTTGAACACATTATAATAAAAACATCTGAACTGTGTGTTGAACTGAACCTAAACTGGCACACTCAGAACAACCTTAAAGGGTCACGAAACACCAAAACACATTTTTTGAGCTGTTGACAGTCGTATATGTGTCCCACACTGCTAAAAACACTATTAGGACACCTATATTTCACTAAAAAGTGTAAATTGGTTGTTTTTGCGTTATTTTAAGCAAATTCGTACTTCCTGTTTGAAACGAATTTTTGAAGCTGCGTCACGGTCATGACATAATAGTGTGTATTCCAGCGTGCAGACTGGGCGTCTGTGCCAGAGTGAGTCTTATTACGTCTTACAGTGTGTTGCATTAATGCATGAGTAAGGCTTGGGTCAAACCAATCAGCGCACTCTATTGTGCAACTTCATTAATATTTATTACTATCACCGTGTTTTCAGGACAGAGACGCCACGTTGTGTTGGCAAAACAAGCGTGAAGTGTTGCTTTTATAGTTTGCTGCAGTTAAGTTTCGTTTTCATTTTCTCTCTGTGAGAGCTCAGACTCACGTGTGGATTACAGTGTACGCGACGCGCGACAACAATAACTTACGTGTCTAAGGAGGATTATTGTTTACCTGAGAGCTGCAAACGCTGAGATTTGGATTCATTTGTAGTTTTCTCTTCATAAAGATGCGGCTCTAGTTGCTGGTGATTGTCCTGTCTCTACAGATTTGGTAAGTGAGCGACTAGTGCTCTTTGTTTATTCAGTTTGTTCGTATCTAACAAACTATTGCACAGAGTGTAAACACGTTAGCACCACAACCAAACTTTAACCTCGTGTAGGGTTTTTACCGCATTTAGTGACCGGAATAACACGCGCGGCTTTCTGACGCTACCTGTCGTGTGCATCTAAGTTTCTGGGAAATGCGGAGGGTTTTTTTCTCTCATTCGCCGTGCGGTATAAAACATTGCATGAAAAATACACGCTTAGAGCAGCTCCTCGAATCAAATATCTCGTGTGTCGCGAGGGGCATGAATGAATTCCCTGAACGAAAGAGCCAAACTGCAGTTAAAGTCCACCATTTAATAATTTGGCTAATAATTCGACTACAGATGTCCATGTAGGTTAAATACCATCACATTCTCCTGTATGTATGTGTGTGTGTGTGTGTATTTTGACTCTGAAACTTGCGCGTGCCCAAATCGACACTCCCACTCCCTCCCACTTTAGTTCCTCCGACACTCCCCCGTAAACAGAGCTGGACACGCCCACTTTTCTGACTTTTTCCAAAGAAGAGGTGTGAAAACACCCTGCTGAAACGAGGGGGTTTCATGGCCCTTTAATAGTAATTTTAAATCATAAAAAAGGGGTAAACTCTGTGCTCTTTAAGATCTCAAAACTCAGGACTTCTTGTAGTAAGAATAGCAAAGTCCACTAATGGAGGTCGAGCCTTCTCATATATGGCTCCTAAACTCTGGAACAGCCTTCCTGATAATGTCCGAGGCTCAGACACGCTGTCGCAGTTCAAAACTAGATAGAATTATGCTGACTAACTTTTCTGTGCACCTTTTGTAAAGCTGCTTTGAAGTAATAATCAATGTGACAAACGCTAAACACAAACAAACTTGAATTGAATTCATATAAAATATTTACATTTTCTTGTTTATAATTTTCATTCTGTTTACAACATCAGTGTAACAATTGTTGAAAAAACACCGAAAACTAATTTAATTCAAGCACTTATGTTTGTTTTTTAAAGCCTTGAAACCATACGTCTGAAATTCAAGTGCTTTCAAGAGGCGTAGGAACTCTGATAACACCATTTGCTGTCCTACCTGATAGACTGAGGGGTGATGAAGATGAACTGCCGCAGATGTTGACGCTCGGAAAGTGCCACAAGCATGTTCATTGAAATGCTGCGATTGTGCATGTCCTTAAAAAATGCAACACACAAAACAAACTTTACCAGACCTTCATTTACATATGAAGCACTAATGCTCAGCATACGCCTGGATGTCCTGGAAATCATCACATGAGAGATCATACCATGTAAACATCAAACTCGTCCAGGCAGCGGAAAGGAGACTCTGTGATTTCCCAGAGTGCCAGAATAAAGCAGACGGTGGAGAAGGAGCGTTCACCGCCCGAGAGAGAGCGCATGTCACTGACGCTGTTCATCTCCTGACCAGGCGGCTTCACCTGAGAAAAACACAGTAACAATCAGGACTAAAAAAACACAATATAAAAATGCAGTTGATGTTAAAATTATTAGCCCCATTTCTCAAGTGATATTTAAGGGAGCAAGGAATTGTTCTCAGTATTTCCGATAATATTTTTTCTTCTGGAGAAAGTCTTATTTGTTTACTTTACTTGTTTGTTTACTTTGGGTAGCACGTTCGCCTCACAGCAAGAAGGTCGCTGGGTTGCTGGTTCGAGCCTCGGCTCAGTTGGCGATGCTGTGTGGAGTTTGCATGTTCTCTTTTCTAATTATTTTGCCTTCAACTGTAATTGATATGGGCAACGTGGTGCTGCAGTGGGTAGCGCTGTCGCCTCACAGCAAAAAGGAGAAGCAGAAGGTCGTTGGTTTGAGCCTCGGCTGGGTCAGTTGGCATTTCTGTGTGGAGTTTGCATGTTTTCCCCGTGTTGGCGTGGGTTTCCTCCAGGTGCTCCGGTTTCCCCCACAGTCCAAAGACATGCGGTACAGGTGAATTGGGTAGGCTAAATTGTCCCTAGTGTGTGTGTGTGAATGAGTGTGTGTGGATGTTTCCCAGAGAAAGGTTGTGGCTGGAAGGGCATCCGCTGCGTAAAAACTTGCTGGATAAGTTGGCGGTTCATTACGCTGTGGCGACCCCAGATAAATAAAGGGACTAAGCCGACAAGAAAATGAATGAATGACTATTTTAAGGTCAATATTATTAGCCCCCTTAAAGATCCCCTATTATGGGTTTTTGAAAATGACCTTCCATGCAGTGTGTAACAGCACTAAGTGAATGAAAACATCCAGCTTAGGTTTAAATCTGAAATTGCGCCTTGTTTAAAACTTGATTCTTTAACTAAATGTCGACTCAGAGTCGAATGAATGAATCAAGTTGGGTTCGGATATTTTGATTGAACGCGTTGACGTTGATACGGTACATCACCAAATATGTAGTTCCACATCCGGTAAAACATGAATGCGCATTTCTCTTCAGACACTAGCGCGAGCGCGGGGTATCATGGGACTGATCGTGACGCGAAGATGATGATCACTGACAGATGGAGATTCGGTTGTGGGGAATAAAGGGTTAAAGTTTATTTTCACAACAACACCGCAGTATAGCCAACCTAGTGCTGAGTTTGTTCCTGTCATTTCTTTCTGATGTTTGATACAATAACCTAAGCTGCAACGCGGGATTCGCTAGCCATTTGCTATAAGAGGAAGGAGCAGCAGAGACTATTAGTATTAGAATTTTGTCAGGCTTTGCCAAGGACTTTGTCAGCAACTGTTACAGTTCATCTAGACAAGTTTCTTCTCCCTCCGGATCATAGCATGTAAGTGTAATTAAAATTGCTGCCTTGTTTTCTGCAGTTTGCAAAATATGTGTTTAATTGTGTGTTATAAGTAGGCCCACACGGAATCTGCGCGCGCAAACTTTAAAAACTTTTATTCCAGCCAAAATAAAACAAATAAGACTTTCTTTAGAAGAAAAAATACTATAGGTAATACTGTGAAAAATTCCGTGCTCGGTTAAACATCATTTGAGAAATATTTGAAAAGAAAAACAGATTTACAGGAGGGAGAATAATTTTTAAAGAATCATTTGAATAAATTGATCAAGATGGCCAAATGTAACTTACAGAAATGGACAGCGTTTCATTGTTGTGGTCAAACATCATAGAGCCACAGCAGTGCAGCTGGATCATGAAGTTGTTGAAGTACAGCTTGCACCTTACAGAAAGCGACCTGAAAAAGCAACAAACTCGTCAACATAAAAACGACAAAAGTGGCCATCTTTTACATACCACTGCTGGAGCCTGAGTAAGTTACTTTCGCAGTGTTTTGTATCGGTCCTGGCGGTCAATCATGATGTTGTCGAGACGGTCGATAAACTTCCTGAGGTCCCTCAGCTGGCTGGATTTGCTTTTGTAATTACTGTGAGCCTCCGCATACTCCCTGAAAAATAATAGATTTTCAAAATAAAAGTGAATCAATCAGGCTTTACATGCATTTTATATGCTTTTAAGTAAGTAATATTTTTCGAAAGCACATCCATCTCAACAAACAAAAAGTACAATACTATATATGAAAAGGCGGCCAAACCAGAGGAACAAAACTTGATAATTTACTTGAAACTTTTGAAGCTTTTGGTATTCCTGCCTTTTCATGTAATTGTATGCTTTTTAAATTCTAAAATTAATAGCAAATAAATAAAATAAAAGTATTTTTTAAAAGGAAAATTGCACTATTTATTGATAACAATAAATAAATAAAGTTGAAGTCAGAATTATTAACCCCCTTTTGATTTTTTTTCTTTTTTAAATATTTCCCAAATGGTTTTTAACAGAGCAAGGAAATTTTCACAGTATGTCTGATAATATTTTTTCTTCTGGAGAAAGTCTTATTTGTTTTATTTCGGTTAGAATAAAAGCAGTTTTTACTTTTTTAAACACCATTTTTGGGACAATATAATTAGCCCCTTTAAGCAATTTTTTTTTCGGTAGTCTACTGAACAAACCATCGTTAAACAATAACTTGTCTCATTACCCTAACCTGCCTAGTTCACCTTATTAACCCAGTTAAGCCTTTAAATGTCACTTTAAGCTGAATAGAAGTGTCTTGAAAAATATCTAGTCAAATATTATTTACTGTCATCATGGCTAAGATAAATTAAATCAGTTATTAGAAATGAGTTATTAAAACTATTATGATTACAAATGTGCTGAAACAATCTTCCCTCCATTAAACAGAAATAAACAGGGGTGCTAATAATTCTAACTTTAACTGTATATATAATATATGCTTATTTTAGATGAAAATTTTAGACAGCACTTAGAGGTTTTGGCATCTAAACTCTTCATATATTTTATATATATACCAGAAAATTAGTTCCAGCTATTTCCACAAATGGGAAGTTGTAACATTACCAGGAGTTCTGAGACAGTCCTCACTGCAGCCGCAGCTTAATGACGTACTAGACCAGGGGCCTCATGTATCAACGCTGCGTACGCACAAAAACTTTGCGTACGCCAGGTTTCACGCTCAGAATCACTCACGTTTGGATTTACTAACAATGAACTGAACGTGGGAATGTGCACAGCTTCACGGCAGCTTTCTGGCAGGCGTACGCACATTTTTTTGTGCGTGTCTGTTTTGTTTCCATTAGCGACTCCTAGAGGCAGTTGTGTTAAATTCCTCTCTACAAAGTGTCTGAGCCTTGCAATGGCAGCTGTATGAGACGGGTTCAGCAGGTATATGAGGTTTCCATACCATACATTTGACCAGCTAAACATTAAAGCGCAATTTGCAGCGGTCGCCTGTTTTCCCAATGTAATCAGAGCGATCTACCGCACGCACATTGCTATAAAGACACTATCTGAAGATGAATTTGCATGCGTGAATCAGAAACATTTCCATTCAATAAATGTGCAAATAAAATATGATGCTTATTGATATGAACTTATTGATGATTCCTACTTGTCTTTCTCGTGATAAATAGTTGGCAAAATCTGATATGTAGCGGGGGAAAAAACAAGAAAGAGTTCATCAGACGCTGGATTCGAGCCGAGTTCATGCTCGAACGTATCAAGTCATGATCACAAGCGTCTTACAAGTAGCGCCACTGAAACAGTTAAGTGTCCTGCAACATTTTACAGATATAAACCAGACTATTTATTTTTTGTTAATGCACTCAGTGCGATGTTCAGACCCAACTGTGTTGACCGCATCAGCTAAACTCTCCCACTCTATTTTTTTCTTTTGTTGTTAATTCCGGAGAACAAACTTGCAAATAACACCGCTTTTCTCCGGTCTACCTCCGAAAGCAGCACCTCCAATTCACATTCTGTTCAAAGTTTCTCTTTTTGCTTGATTTTGCCTTTGCTTTTTCTTTGGGTTTTACCATTAGCATAGTCATTAGCATATTCATACGGGGGAGGAGGCAGGGAGGGGTTTTGCGCTCGTGCATGTTGCGCTTAGTTTTACGTTCATTCAGATGTACAAAAGAATATGCGTGAGATTCGGCGTACGCAGTGTTTCATACATCTGAATTTTTTTCTGCGTACGCACATTTACAGCTTTGTGCGTACGCAATGTTTTAGTAAGATTTCCACGCAAGTCTTCGTACATGAGGCCCCAGGTCCTCTACATAGTGGACGATTGTCTACACCTGCACCAACCCTAAACCCATCCTTCACAGTAGTATGGGCGTTACCTTAGTCGGCGTTACAATGTCCACTACGTATTGGACCTGGTCCAGTAACTCATCGTGTTAGGGTGCTTTCACATTAGCTCTTTTGGCCCGCACCCAGGTTCACTTGACATCATAGTACGGTACGTTTAGCTAGTGTGAACATGTCTTCTGAACTCGGGTGCGCACCCGTGAACCAAACCCGAGTACGCCTGAAAAAGGTGGTCTGGGGTACGGTTCATACAAACGCTGGTACGGTTCACTTCTGATGTGAAGGCAATCGTACTAAATAACAGAAGTAAACCGCCGACTGTACAACAAACTATCATTTTCATAACGTTCGTTCGTGTGTGTGTGTGTGTGGGTCACGTTTCGTACCTTGGTGACGCGCGGGAATAAGCCAGGGCAAACACAGTGATGTCTGCTTGTCTCCTCCAAAAGCAGCTTCTGCAGACACTGTGTGATGTTCTGAATGTTTATGGTGTTTTACGGCAGATAGATGCGAGTCGCTTTCTGTATGTCCAAAATTAAAAGATTCAGTAAAAGCAAATCGACCAGGATGTGCGGACGTCTTTTCATTTTGGCACTTTGCTTCCGTGACTATCCCCTAGCAACAGCCACATAATGGAAGTGAACCCCCAACTGTCCAACAAACTATCATTTTCATAACGTTCATTCGTGTGTGTGTGTGTGTGTGTCTGTGTGTGTGTGTGTGTGTGTCTGTATGTCACATATCGTACTTTGGTGACAACGGGAATGAGCCAGGGCAAACACAGTGATGTCTGCTTGTCTCCTCCAAAAACAGCTTCTGCAGACACTGTGAGATGTTCTGGATGGTTATAATATTTTTGCAGACATCTTCCATTTTGGCGCTTTGCTTTTGTGACGGTCACCTAGCAACAGCCGCAAACAAAACAGCAGCTCGATGAGTTGTGTCAGAAGGAAAAAAGACAGTGTGAACACAAACCAACCGAGAAGGTGGCTAGGGGGGACAATCGAACTTTGGTACGGTCCAGGCAATTGAACCAAGTGTGAGAGCACCCTTACAGACTGCAGCGAGATCATCTTGGGAATTCTGCTGTTTGTAAACAGTGTATTTTTGAATTTACCATAAAGTCATTCAGGTAATTTCTCCGGTATTACCGTGTGAAAGAGGCTAATGAATGAAAGCTAATAGCTGCAGAAATACCGGATAATTTGCTCCTTATCGCCGTGACTGTTCTCTTGCGTTTTGATTTTCTGTCGCAGGCGTGTGATCTCCACATCAATGCTTCTGGGACTCTGATCAACCTGCTGGCGCTCAGGACACAGCTCTCGGGCTTTGGCTTCACAATCCTGCACACACAGAGCATTTACACACCACTCAGCAAGCAGAGAGTCGCTTGAATGCAGATGCACACATTCTCTTATGACAGCTGATTTTAAATATGCAATTAAATGTTAGAAAAGCAATGGAGTGAATACCCGCAAGTCTTCCTCTTGGAGGGACAAATCTTCTTTCATGCTCTGAATGTTGTTCTGATGATCCTTGAGTTTCTTCTCCAAGGTCTTCATGGTTTGATCAAGTTTGTTGCAAACAGTTTCTGCCTTCACTTGCTCCTCCTGTTAAGGAAAATCTTTAAATATTCTGCAAACTACAGATAACATTTCTTCTAAATTACAGTATAATGAAACGTCGCACAAGTTGGTCAGAATAACAAAAAATGGAGCTGTTTTCAGACATTTATGCAGTATATTTTTATAATTACAAAATAATATATTAAATGTATTATATTTTTACAAATTTCATAATAAACAAATTATTATAGAATTTGTTTACATATTTTACAAATGTTTACACTTCAAAAGATTTAAAGAGCCCATATTATGGGTTTTTGAAAATTCCCCTCCATGTAGTGTGTAACACAGCTCTAAGTGAAGTGAAGTATCCAGCTAAGGCTTAAATCTGTAAGAATACAGTGTTTAAAACTGTTGATTCATCTATAAAAGAGTCGACTCATAGTGCTTCAAACGAGTTGCCTTGATACCGATTCATTAGGTGTTTCGCCATGACGTACGAACGAAACCAAGTTATTCACGTGCACGCGCAAACCCGGGAGATTTCAAACCTGAGGCCCTGCCCTCTGACGCAGAAACCCAGACACACACACACACACACCCACAAACACACACACACACACAAACATGCCGGTCGATTGAAGTCACTCTGCAGATGGATATATCGAGTCTCTACCCAAACATGAAACCTCAGCATTATAGCCAAGCAGTTGGAAACTACTGGAAACTTCTGGAAACTACATGCTACAAAGAATACTTCATCAGCGTTTGTTAAAGGAAGGATCAGTAAAGAGTAACTTACTGATGGACGTCAGGATGGATTTTTCTTCCTCCATTTCTCAAGTGTAAGTACGTGCGATTAAAGTTGCCTCGTTGACTCTAGCTTGCAAATGTATTTAGTTGTGATTTGTTACTTGTAACCGCGTGTACTGTATCAGATTAACTGGCTATATTCTCTTATCGCGTGCAAAGTCACGTTAAAAACGTGACGCGTGCTGCTTTGTTAACGAAGCTCCGTGGACGAGGAGTAGTGTGTGTGTCTGTGTGTGCGCGTTGTCGTCCGGAGCAGGGTTAAGTACGTGTGTGTGTTTGTGCAATATGTGTGTGTGTGTCTGTGAAAAGTGCAGAGTGAGACAAGCTATGAGATCTCCTCGACAGTTTTTGGAGTTTTTGCTCAATAAAATAGTTAGTTGTCTGTATTTTCAAGTCCATAGTCTGTATTTACATTGACCCACTGGCAGCTAAACTCCACGCCTACACTATCGAGCGTGTATGAACTGTGATTACTTTTATATTGCTGATTAGCTGTTTGGCATTTCACTCTCTGACTGAAGGCAGTCGACCAATCGCAACAGACTGTCATTGGTCCAATCAGCGCAGATTAGCTTCGCGCTAAGGAGGGGTTTGGGAACAAATGAATCACTGGACGATTCATACGGGAGTCGCTGGGATAATTAGGTAAAAATAAATGCAGATTATAAGACCATGAAAGTGTTTTTTGACCTTGCATGCATATTAAACTGTTGTTGGAGACCCTTACAACCAAGATATGACCCTATTTCATGTATAATATGGGCTCTTTAAGAAAGCAATATTTAGTTAGAAAATCATGACTTGCAACCTTAATAAAAACATTTATTACTTTTTCCAACTGTTAATTAATACAAAAAAGTAATAAAATAAACATTTTAAATTCATTTATTTGAAATTTGGAACAAAAAAATATAAGAATATTAACAAAAATGTACTATTTAAATACCTTTAATACTTAGTAAATGCAGAAAAACATTGATATTCGAGTGTTCAATATTATTTTTCTATATAATAATATAATATAATTGAATGAATAATTAACTTTCATATGTATATGGTGATACTTCGGTATATGATTACCTAAAGTTAGTCTGTGTTTGGTGTAATTAGTTAGCTAGCCTGTTCATTTGTGTCTGTATAGTTTTGTTGCGGTTGCTGTTGTTGTTTAGTCTCTTTTGATTAAGTGATCTATTTATTAGATAAACCTGTGCAGCTCAATATAGTATTTCTTGAGAAGTTAAACGATCTTTATGAGAACTGGATTATCAAATAAGCTCTTGTTTTGCTAATGGCTAGCAGTGTGCATTTTAGGAGAAATCTAGTAATTTTGAGAAGCATAGTTTCTTTGTGTTAGTTGGTTTATGGAGGAGTTGCCAAATTTGTAATAATGTTTTGGAGTAGGTAAGTAGTTTAATTAAGCGTCGCGCTGAAGATTACAGTTTTGTTTCTGCATTTTTCTTTGGTTAGTTAGTTTAGTGGGTTGGGGTTTAGTTTGATCGTTTTGTTATATCATTTTGTTTTTTCGTTTAATTCGGTTATTTAAAATTACATTCTAAATTCCTATTTTCATAGTTTGATATGCTCTGTTTAATAAATAGTTCATATTTGTTTCACTTATCCAGCAGTTGTGTGTTCTCATTTTCACCCAGCACCATTAGAGACTTACTGAATGTTACGTCTCATCCAACTTAATAACGTAAACGCTAAGTAACTAGTTACTGTAATTAAATTACTTTTCTGCTAAAATAAAAAGGTAAAGCGATTATTTTTCATTATTAATTACAGTTAATTATGTTTCTGGCTTAAATTCTGCACATAAACTAAACAGTTCTGTATAAGCCAATTCAGAGAAGCAGATCAATTGTATTTTTTTTGTTATACAAAATGTTTTAGGCAGAATAATTCTATTTTTCAACTAAAAAGGCTCAATTTAACAGCACAGTTGCACATTCAAGAGTTCACACTTAGTTGATGATTGATAAGTAAGGGTGCTTTCACACCTACACTTTTGTTTCGGAACGTATCTCGTTTGCCCAGTTAGCGCGGTTTGTTTGGCATATGTGAACAGGGCAATCGCGCTCTGTTCCGCGCCAAAGTAATCGCTCCGAGATCGCTTGAATGAGGTGGTCTCGGCTCGATTGAAACGAACCCTGGAGCGGATCGATTGCAGTGAGAAAGCGATCCGATCCGAGCGCGGTTATATCCCAGTGTTTTATGGAAATGTAATAGGCCTACGGCTATATGAAGAGAGAATTATGAGTAGGGCGGGAAGTTTCTCGAGTCTCCGGATGCCCGCAAACAAGTGATGATCTCCCGGTAATCTCGCGTCTCCCTCCCGGTCCTCAAATAGGCATCGTCGCGCACCCTTCTCACCCCTCCCCACCGCGTCTCTCCTCAGACACGTCGCGCGCGCACCCTGTCAATCACCACCAAACCACCACCTCTCCTGACAGCTTTAGCGGGGTGCTGCAAAATAAACCCTGACACTCTGACCAATGTGAGGAGAGTTTACTCGCACGTGACTTGTTTTAGCTCTTTTGGTCCGATTAGAAACTTTGCAGTGTGACAGCGAACCGCTCCAAGAGCAAAGAGCAACAATGTAACAAGTGTAATCTCTGTTTCGGAACAACTGAATCGATTCACAGGTGTGAAAGCACCCTAAGAGTGAGTTTGGCATGCTGTCCTAGGAGAGAGCCCTGAGCTCGGAACATCCTTGGGAGAGAGAGGAGTCTGAGCTCAGGTAGGTCTCGTGAGCTCCCCGGTACTTAGTTAAGAAAGAGGGCAAAGAGTAGTGGTGGATTGGGGGGATTCTTCTAAATGAAGTTGGTTAACGTGACAAAATCCGGCTATTTATACATATTCAAATTCATCCGGTGAATCGTGATTGCTAATGTGGGACCTGCTGTGGTCAATCAAATGCACGTGATCCTTTTGTAATTAGTTATCTATAAACTTCACTAAATAAATTGAGTGAGTAAATCAATACAGATAATATCTGGTATTATTTATTATTACCCAACCAATGTTATTATGGCAATTTTTTTTCCATAACTTAATTTTTCAACTGAAGAATGCTAGATTTGTCTAACAATTGCACATGCTTCAGAAACAATTAAGCTATTTTTCAATATCTGTTTAAAAATATGGTGTCGCTAATCTAAAAGTAGAACAATTTTTAAAAGTTAATAATCAAACTAAACAGTCCTGTTTGACTCAAGTTTAAAGGCTTACTGTCTATGCCTTTGATTTATATGGATTTAGGCAGCATTAAGTCGAGTAATTCAATTAATTTAATTAATCAGGTAACTGTTCAGACAAAGCAATTATGAAAATAATTTAAGTATTATTTTAATCATGTAAATAGTAATGATTTACTTAAGTAACTTACTAAACTCTCAAGCTAATAATAGCTACAATGTAAATATAATATTTTCAAAACATTAATTAAATATCATCTGTTTTAATAATACTAATATAAGTGTGGTGTAGTGATCTCTCACCTTCAGCTGCTCCATCTCATCTGACAGTTTCTCCATTTTACATTTCACATCTTTGAATTTCTGATTGACAGCCAAGAGCCCTTTCTCATGTTTTCGGAGTTCATCTTCAGCCTCTTTCACGATTCTCTTCTCCAATTCGATCTTCTGCTCGTTCTCTTGAGCCTCTTCCTCCTGTACATTTAACAAATCACACAATTCAATCATGAAAATGATCAAAATAACTGTTGTTTAATCGAATTCATAAATCTCACCAGAGAGCTGATGTCCTCATCCTGCGCCTCCTCAATGTTCTCAAGTTCTGTTATCGAAGCTTTAACCTTATTTATACTCTCCTAAAAACAGATTAAAAGATTCAGTGAGCTATAATCTGCACATCTCTGACAGTAAAGTAATACGTTAATCTTAAACGTTTTTAAATGAACATTTATTATAAAAACAAAATTGATACAGAAAGTAAAAATAATACATTTCAGATTTTACAGATACAGGAACAAGATAACAAAAACGGTGCCACTTCAGCCTAAACGGCAGCTATGTTATGTTTACTTGGCCCTTTTCTTTGCACTGTGCAAAAACAGAACAGCATCTACTGTGACTGAATTCAGGCAATTCCGCCTCGCCTTCAAAATGCAGCCAGCTGCACTGAATGAGCGTTCTCTCGTACCACTTGTTGTAGGAATGAACAAGATTCTCCTCGCAAGCTGCTGCAGTCGTGTAAATAAGCGATCTTGTTTCTCTAGAACGATAGCAGATTTTCCTCTGATGACTCCTCTAACTAAAACTGTGAACAGTAGGCTACTCTTGCACTTCATTCATTTTTTGAGCGTCTCATCTTCCCATTCTGCAAAGCCCACTCTCAGCTTTTTTTTCCGCTGGTCCACTGCCATGTCCCGCAACATCCACCCGCAACCCACCCGCAATAAATCATAATGTATGTTTTTATTACCCGACCCGCAGCGCCCACGGATATAACCGCCATCCGCGCAACACTATCGCCCACTGAAAGCTAAGCAGGGCTGTGCTTGGTCTGTACCTGGATGGGAGACCACATGGGAAAGCTAGGTTGTTGACATAAGTGGTGTTAGTACGACCAGCAGGGAGCGCTTAACTTGCAGTCTGTGTGGGTCCTAACACCCCAGTATATTGATGGGTACTCTATCCACTTGTTAAGTGGTAACGTGTTGGTGACGTACAGTTGAAGTCAGAATTATTAGCCCCCTTTTGAATTAATTTTTTATTTATTTCCCAAATTATGTTAAACAGAGCAAGGAAATTTTCACAGTATGTCAGATAATATTTTTCTCTTCTGGAAAAAGTCTTATTTGTTTTATTTTGGCTAGATTAAAAGCAGTTATTAAAGTTTAAAAAAAAACATTTTTGGGACAAAATTATTAGCCCCTTTAAGCCAATTTTTTTTCAATAATCTACAGAAGAAACCATCATTATACAATAACTTGCCTAATTACCCTAACCTGCCTAGTTCACCTTATTAACCTAGTTAAGCCTTTAAATGTCACTTTAAGCTGTATAGAAGTGTCTTGAAAAATATCAAGTAAAATATTATTTACTGTCATCATGGCAAAGATAAAATAAATCCGTTATTAGAAATAGGTTATTAAAACTATTTTGCTTAGAAATGCGCTGAAACAAACTTCCCTCCATTAAACAGAAATTGGTGAAAAAAATAAACAGGGGCGCTAATAATTCAGGGGGGCTAATAATTCTGACTTCAACTGTATGTAATACTGTTTACGGGTCCAAGCCACCATTCATTTGAGTTGAGAAATCATTATTTTATGATCACTTTTTATTCATATCACACATTAAAGATAATTTTATATAAAGTCATAGTGTACACAACAATCTCTGGGCTTGCTGGATAACAAATACCAAAATTTTAACAATTTTTAAAAACAGTTATCACTTTCTGGCCATTGGATATTAAGCATGGACATATATATTGCGATCGTGATTTTCAAAAGTATTAAATCGCTTTGTAAACATTTATTATTACCATTTCATGAGTCTCCTCATTCAGATGAATAGAGCGCTTGGACCCGGAAGCCGCTTCGCGTGACGTCACACTTATCAAGCAGATACTGCTCAGTGAGTGCCATCTTTAGGATGAGACACTAAAAATCCCAGGATGTACTTCGAAAAGATAAGGGGTTTAACCCTGGCATCCTGAGCAAATTTGTCTTGCACAATATGGCTGCCATCGTGTTATCCAGGTGGATGCTGCACCCTGGTGGTGAATGAGGAAATTCCCCTCAAAAATGTGTAAAGCGCTTTGAATAAGGAATTATTATTATTTATTATTAATATTATTTAGGCGTATAGTATGTGAATTGGGAGCCAAAAACATATTTATTCTATACCAGCAGGTGGCGATTATGAACAGCACTAATGTAATAACTGTAAACAAAGCAGCACTACACCATCAACTTTGAAGAGGTCCTGTTTTGCAGCTTTTTACAAGAAGTAAAATTATCTCTGATGTGCCTAGAGGGATGTATATGAAGTTTCAGCTCAAAATACCACACGAAAGATGTTATATAACTCTTTGAAACTGACCGTTTTAGGCTTTGATTCTATTTGTGACATTTTGGTGACTGTCGCTTTAAATTCAAATGAGATTGTGCTCTTTTCAAAAGAGGGCGAAGCTACAAATGCCTTTGTGTCAGCATAGTGGCAGATTCAAAAACAAGACTGACGTCCTATGTTAATGAGGAAGAGATGGTCACTAATGGACGGGGCTTTCCCGCTCTGATGACACATACAAAGGGAGAATGTCAATCAAAGTGTTCCTGCAAGTATGATTATAAAAAGTAAACAAAATACATTTTTACCATTAAAAGCTGATTATATTCACACATTGTTGCTAATTAACTTTATACATGTACGATAGTTGAAAACGGCTAATTGTGTAGCCTGTGCATGTCAATACCTGATTCTTTTTGCAGGCCATGATAACACTACGCAATTTCTCCTCCATGAGCTGAATGTCCTCCTTCACAGAGCAGGAGTGAAGCTGGAAGCGTAAAAGCTGAGCCTGAATGTTCTCCAGCTCTCCGTTCACTAGACTGTAAATCAGGACAGAGGAGCACGTATAGTCAAGCCAAAAAGTATTCAAACACTAGATATTGTTAATGATATTCCTCAGTAGTGCAGGACACTAATTGCCCGTTTCCACTGAGTGGTATAGTACGGTACGGTTCGGTACGCTTTTATGGCCGTTTCCACTGTTTACCGAACCAAACCGTACCGTACCACTTTTTCGGCACCCTTTCAAAAGGGTCCCAAAAACGAGAAAGGGTAGCAAAAGGTGGAGCTACACGCGCAACCGAACGCTGATTGGTTACCGAGATACGTCACGAGCTTGTGGAGCTATACAGAATGTAAACAAAGGATCCGCCATGTTCTAATACACAGCCGAGAGATTACATGGATATAACGTTACTATACGCATAAAATAACCAGCCATGGATGACCCGGGCTCAAACAAACCATGTCGTCGTCTTGATGAACAGACACAATGCAAAGAAGAACAAAATCTGCAGTGTCCTGTTGTTGCTTTACGAGCCTGTCTAAAAGTGCGAGCGGTATTCGCTTTCTTCCGGGAGCGCACGATCGTGTCTATATTTGATATAACAAACTTCTTGAGCTGATGATAATAACGTGTAACGTTACGTGATTGTTGAAGTGTCTCCATCATCTGATCCATTCAGAAAGAAAAGGACAAGTGTGAGAGTAAAGCGCGGAAAAAAAGGAAAAACCCTGCAAAACACAGGTGCAAAAGTGTTTACCGACCTGAATCATTAACAAACTGCCATGATTATCTTTGCCTTTTGGACTATTATGAACTAGGAATGACAAAGACTCTCTAACAGAGTTTGCATGTGCTGGTGAAGATTACAGACATAGATGAGAGGTTTGCTCTGACTGTGGGCTATATTGCGTGTGTTTTTGAACTGAAATAAGTACTAAATGTATGATGTTTGTAGTTTTTCTGTAATTAATAATATATCGCAGACCGTAAGGGTCTGTATGTGTTCTTATATGTTGGATTTATGTATTTATTTAATATAATTACAGACGTTACAGTAGCCTATTTTGCATTGATCTGCAGTTATAATAAACTCTTGTTCATAGAAAAGTTAGTAATAAACATTTATAAACAAGTATTTATGTGTATAAAGCATCTGTTTTGTCAGAAGTGCTTCTCATATGATATGTAAACGACCCGTACAGCCTTACTGTAGACATTTATTCGAGCGACCATGACGTTGACTTAAACTTTGTCGTACACCACACCCACCAAAAAGGGTACACTTTGTGGTAGAAACGCAAGCCTGATAAAGGTGACCCGTACCGACCCGAACCGTACCGTACTGTACCAGTCAGTGGAAACGAGCCATAAGGTCAAGGGGTCATCATCCCTTTTACTGGAGATCTACCTTCCTGCAGATTTCAGTTGACCAAACCCAGACCAAACACACCTGTTTGTAATTATCAAGGGGCTTCTTCGGGTGCTAATTAATTGGTTCAGGTGTGTTTGAACTGAATTCTGCATGAAGGTAGCTCTCCAGGAGCAGGGTTGGTGACCCCTGCTATAGTCTATTTGTGTAAATGAGGATAGAAGAATAAAGTAAACTGTTATATATAATATTCAAACATAATTTGAGTCACTTTATACACTTTGCACTTATGAGTTTAGTAAATGTTTTTACTAACTGGAAATCCAAACCATTTCCCAATCAAAGTATACGGTTGCCAACTTAGTGCATTAAAAGACCAAACTACCAAATAATACCTGTCAAGAGGACATCTGCTTTATGCAAATGACAAGTGCGGATGCTAGCCAATCATGTTTGTGCAGTACCAGAAAATAGCAGTATGTCAAAAAGGAGGAAAAGTTTATTATTATTTACAAGATGTAAAATTATCTCTGATGTGCCTAGAGGGATGTATATGAAGTTTCAGCTCAAAATACCATGTGGAAAATGTTTGAAACTCTTTGAACTGACCCTTTAGGCTTTGATCCTAATTGTGGCATTTTGGTGACTGTCACTTTAAATTCAAATGAGAATGTGTGGTTTTTAAAAGAGGGCGGAGCTACAAATGCTTTTGTGTCAGCATAGTGGCAGATTAAAAAACAAGACTGACGTCCTATGTTAATGAGGGAGAGATGGTCACTAATGGGCGGGGCTTTCCCCCTCTGATGACATGTACAAAGAGAGAATGTCAAAGTATTTCTGTAGACTGTTTTTTATTAAGTCTGATTATAAAAAATTCTAATTAATTTATTTTTTCCCATTAGCTGGTTATATTCAAAGACTGCTGCCACACAACAGTGTTTAAACCAAGCGGCAACCTTCCGCTCTCCCTCAGGAAGCCAATACGGAAGCAACTAAAACTGCAATTCATCCGAAATTCCGCTAGTCCTGGCCGCTCCGGGCTCCAAAACAGAGCAAATTTCAATTGAGCCCACTGTTAGAATGGCCAACTTTACAGCAGAAAAAAAGGTGTTTACAGCCTGGTACAATAAAAGATTTTGGTTAATACAGCTAATATTACCCTTCATGACAACTGTGAGGGGGGTGAACTCATCCGTTTCCTTTATATTAAGTTATATTAAGTTTGCATAATTAAGGGCGTGGCCACTTGAGTGACAGCTAGGTCTCGTTGGTCACCGTCACGTCCAAGTGTGCCGCAAGCCTACGTTTGAGTGAAGGTTTCGGCCGTTAGATCGCCCCCTGGGGGCTGGCTGCAGTACAAGTCATAAAGCCCGCCTCCTCCGTGTTAATGAAGGAGACTTGAGCCCAAATAAAAAAAAATATTACACTTGCAATAAAATGTCCTGAAAGATAGTTCTGGTCGATTAAGGCACTGGTTATTGTGCTGAAATAGGTGCAGATCTTCATTTTTGTAAACAGTTTGTTTTTAGCAGTAATTTAATGCTGGGCGTGTCATCGTGATTGACAGCTGTGATTGACAGTTTCTCAAAGCGCAGCGTCTGAGCTTCGGCAGGAGACTGAAGTAGACTGAAATGTTATTATTCGATTTCTGTGTTATTTTACCATGACAAAATGAGTTCAGCAGTAAACTATAGTTTCTGACATACATGATCCTGGTGGAACACTGTTTATTCCCTAAGTTCAGGGCTTTTTTCGGGCTTTATTAGTTTGCTGATACACGCCTAGCCACCCAGATAGCAAAACACAGTTCCGGCTAGATTCTCGCCTGCCGGAGACTTATCTCTTAGAGCTCAGACTGACTAATGTTACCTCTGCTGGACCTACTCCGGATGCCTGGACTCACTGCCCGATTCCAGTCTGAGTCAATCGAGCCAGATGCGGCGGCCGAGCGAGCAGGCGCTGCCGCATGCGAGCCGGAATCAGCCCGCGACGCCGCGAGTAAGTTATGCGCTGCGGCCTGGAGCTGGCGCGATTGAATATATAAAACCCTCATATTTGTTAACGTTATTACATCCATTTGTGTTGATATGACAGCAAACGCATGCTGAGAAGTTCGGGGGGCGTGGTTTATTTTACATAAAGCGTTTGATTGGAAGCTCGACTCCGCTCATTTTCGCGGCTCCTCCTCTGGCTCCATCAGACAATCCTTCTGCGCATGTCAAGGCTCCAATTTCAGCAGTCTTTTGCGACAGTTTGTGCCCGTCAAGCAGGCGTTTTGCCCTCAAGGCGTTCAATGGGAAAAAGGGCTGTCGCGTCGTCCATATTTTTTACAGTCATTGGTCACGTCACCTCAGCTGAATCCTGCAGATTAGCCACTGAACTCGGCATATTTATCGTATTTCTGTGTTGTTTTATGTGGCTTTACACAGTCAACCGCCTTTCGGACTTGTTTCCAACAATTATTATATGGCAAGCAATGCTGAGAGCACTTAATTGTGCTCACAAAACATTCAAGTGGGCTCCGTTTTACATGTGAGTAAAGATATACTTATATACCATCTCTATACATGTATTTGTTTTATTTAAGATCATTTATCGTTTATATTTATATTTAGAGCTGTAATGCACTTCAGAATATGTCAGATTGATTAGCTGTAGACTCTAGAACAGTCATCTGAAGTGTTGTCATACAGTGTTATGCTGGATTTCATCAATAGTCTTACATTAACTAACACAGACTATATCTGAAGTGTTTGTAAGTAATTCGTGTTTTCCTCCTGTTGAAAAACGTCATAAGAACAATGTTTAGTGGCTCAATGTATTACAGCAGTGTTTTTAAAAGTCTAAACACTTTATTGATATAGTGTACAACCAAGCACAAGTGGTCAGAATACAAACGAGTCACAGGTGATGATAACGTATTAAGCATTCTCTCAAAGTAAAGTGTGTCTGAACCAGGTCCAAGCTAAATGCCAGCAGGTGTCTGTAGCTCTGCTCACTCTCCGCCTCTTTGCCCTTGTTTGGTATCCCGCCGTGGGTTTGATGACGCACGAACAAATTGGCGACGGTTGGCCGCGCATACTTGTGGCTTCTTTTGCGCTCTTTAGAAACCTATGGGTGACGTCACGGATACTACGTCCATATATTTTACAGTCTCTATGGTTTAAACCCCTTATAAAACAAAAAGTCCCCTTTATAGGTGTCTGAATTTTTTTTATAACTGTCCAGTATATTCAAGCAGAAGTAGCCTCATACATGTCTGGTGTTTATGTGGAAAATGCTTGACATTAATATACTCCAGGAAAACTATACTAGTGGCAGATGCTGCTTTATGTAGGTGAAGTTTACACTTGCCTTATTTCTGCTTCTGGGTCTCCACCAAGATATTTGACCAGAACTTCATGTTCAGGGGTGTAATAGCGATTGGTGAAAACCTGATCACCATCTGCAGTGAAGGCCTCGCGGCAATTCTTTGGTGGTCTTGAGCCCTGCATGACCTTCCTGGCACGAGCTTTTTCCTGTTATAAAACAAATCATTTTATGAAAAGTAAATAAAATCTAAAAATAATTTTAAAATTTGTATTATTTATATAAAATTGTATTTTTTATTTATTATAAATGCTTTTATACTGTATACTAACATTAAACAATATTTAGAATGTTTTATTGTTTATTACTTAGGCGACACGGGGCACAGTAGGTAGTGCTGTCGCCTCACAGCAAGAAGGTCGCTGGTTTGAGCCTCAGCTGGGTCAGTTGGCATTTCTGTCTGGAGTTTCCATGTTGGGTGCTCTGGTTTCCTCCACAAGTCCAAAAACATGTGGTACAGGTGAATTGGGTATGCTAAAATTGTCCATAGTGTATGTGTGTTCCCCAGAGTTGGGTTGCAGTTGCAGTTGGAAACCAGAGCATCAGGAGGAAACCCACGCAAACGCAGGGAGAACATGCAAACTCCACACAGAAACACCAACTGACCCAGCCGAGGTTCAAACCAACAACCTTCTTGCTGTGAGGCGACAGCACTACCTAATGCCCCACTGCATCGCCCTAAAAATGCATATCATAATATCATAATTAGTGTAGATGACTTACTCTGATGACCAGAATGCTCTCAATGCTCCTCATGTCAATAAGACAGTTTGCTATGACCGGGTTCTCGATATTAAGGCAGTCCAGCACTGATGGAAACTCAGGATGATGGACTCCACTGACAACAAAACATATAAAAATAATACTTAACAAGACTCCAGAATCTTCCATTTCTGGGCTTTTCTGAAATGTCTTACCGGCCTTGAAGATTATAAACATGGTCTGTGAATGGACACACCATTATCTGAGGCCTGTTGCCTTTGTAGAAATACTGCGACATCAATCCCTGAAGGACTTTTTCATCCTTGTAATTGTCACAGCAAAAGCTTTTCAAAAAAAATCCTAAGCAACACTCTACAGCCAAGGTTAAAGTGGGATCTTTTAGACTGATGCATGCACCTGATGAAGAAAAAGAAGAAAAAAAAATCAACAATGAAGGCAAATTGTGATTTGTTTTTGATTTGATAAGGCCAACTCACATGGCACAGATTTAAGGCAATAAAACAAGTGTGTCTGAGTTTGTTGGATCAGTGTGTCTGTCTGTGTGTGATGACGTTGATCAGTTTGTTTTCACCTGACTGAACAGGTTCAATCTGCGTTTGTGGATAAAGACTTAATCTGCTCAGGGGCCAGGAAGGCTTCACGTAAATTTCTTGTTAACCCCGAGAAGGATCATTTAATTCATTATTTAAGGCATTTTGAACACAATTGTTTGTGCCATGTGAATTAAAGGAATACTCTACTTTTAAACTCATTTTAGACTCATTTTAGTGTTGAGTTTTACAATTTTTAAATCCATTCAGTCGATCTCCGGGTGTGTTGAGTATTTTTAGCTTAGCAAAAATCATTGAATCGGATTAGACCATTAGCATCTCCTTTAAAAATTTCAAAGAGAGATTTAATAATTTTCCTGTTTAAAGCTTGACTGTTCTGTAGGTATATTGTGTAATAAGACCAATGGAAAAATAAAAGTTGTTATTTTCAAGGTCGCTTTGACGAGATGCTAATGATCTAATTTAACTCAATGATTTATGTTAAGCTAAGCCCACTCCATTTTTTTTTTTTTTTTGAAAGTAAGCTCATTTTACAGCTCCTCTAGAGTCAAAGAGTTCAGTTTTACAATTTTTTTAATCCATTCAGTTGATTTCTGGATCTAGCTGGAACATTTTTACCTTAGCATTGATCATTGAATCAGATTAGATAAGTATTTCGTTTAAAAACAACAACAAAAAAGAGTTATAATAATATTTTTGTTTAAAGCTTGACCCTTCTGTAGTTACACTATGTAATAAGACCAATAAAAATTTTAAAGTTGCTATTTTCTAGGTTGCATTGGCAGGATGCTAATGGTCTAATCTGATTGAACAAGTTATGCTAAGCTAAGCTAAATGTGCTCCTGACAGACTCTGCTCTCTGTTTTTGAACGTAGGCTTATTATATATATATATATATATATATATATATATATATATATATATATAGTTACCATTTTAGAATCCATTAAGTTGATCTCAGGGTCTGACAGGAGCATTTTTAGCTTAGCATAGATCATTGAATGGGACTAGACCAGGCATGATCAACCCTGTTCCTGGAGATCGACCTTCCTGCAGATTTCAGTTGCAACCCATATCAAACACACCTGCCTGTAATTATCAAGTGTGGTTCAGGTCCTAATTAATTGGTTCAGGTGTGTTTGATCAGCGTTGGAGCTGAACTTTGCAGGAAGGGCGATCTCCAGGAGCAGGGTTGAGCATCACTGGACTAGACCATTAGCATCTCGCTCAAAATGTTCAATACAGAGTTTCGATAATTTTCCTGTTTAAATTTGACTCTTCTGTGGTTCCATCATGTAATAATACCAGTGGGAAATGAAAAGTTACTATTTTCTGGATTGCTCTGACGAGACGTTAACGGTCTAATTCGATTCAATGACTTATGCTAAGCTAAGCTAAAAGTGTTCCCAGACCCAGCTCCACCCTTTTTGAAAGTAGGCTCAATTCACAGCTCTCCTAAAGATTAGGAGTTTGGTTGTAGTATATTTGAATTCATTCAGCTGATCTCTGGGTCGGACGAGAGCCTTTTTAGCTTAGCATAGATCATCGAATCAATTTGGACCATTAGCATCTGGCTCAAAAATATTTTTTTAATTGTTTTGATTATTATCCTGTTTAAAGCTCGTCTCTTCTGTAATTACATTGTGTACTAAGAATGGTGAAAAATGAAAAGTTGTTATTTTCTAGGTAGCTAGTGTAAATGCTAATGGTCTAATCCGATTCAATGCTTTATGCTAAGCTAAGCTAAAAGTGCTCCCTCCCCAAGCTGGAGATCAGCTCAAAAGATTTTAAAAATGGTAAAAACCTCACCTATTGGTCCCACAGGTTTCTTCTTGAATCGCCCCTGAGCGAAGGCTTTGTTGATGGACTCCATCAATTCTGGCATGTGATCACCAAACCGCCTCAGTCTGTTAGATCTGCTGGCCATCAGCTGCTTTTTTCTCTTCGATTTGGACTCCAGAGAGGCTTTTATGTTCTTTTCCTCCATGCTAAAAAAATGAAGAAAATTTAATTTAAAAATGTAGAATTTATGATTACAGCAAAAATAAATATCACCTACAGACGGTTCAGTCCGGTTTAGTGTAATATATATATTTTTTTGCCCCAGTCATAATTTAGAATTAACAGACTTCACCACAATTTACTCTTTTTTTTCTTTTTGCAAGCTCAGTTTTAAAAGAAATTATATTTTAAAATGATTCACTAAAGAAATGTCAGTTCTGTTCTCATTTATTCACCCTCCACTAGTTTGAGTTTCTTTTTATTCTGTTCTCTCCGCTATGACATTACACATGCTGAATCTTTTCACACTACTTTACACTCACCTATTCATGAGGTGTGCATTCTTGGTTTGCTTTCTAGATGCTTGAATGTTTTATCTATTTTAAATGTTTTACTTTGAATGGTTCAATTTTACTGTTATTATTAACTGTTTTTATATCTGTATCTTTGTTGTGTATAGCTTTTTGAGAATTAAGTTTTAAAGGTGCTAAATAAAAAATTATTATTATTATTATAAAAATATATATACAGTTGAAGTCAGAGTTATTAGCCCCCCTTTGAATTTTTGTTGCTTTTTTAAATATTTCCCATATTATATTTAAAAGCAAGGAAATTTTCACAGCATGTCTGATAATGTTTTTTCTTCTGGAGAAAGTCTTATTTGTTTTACTTCAGCTAAAATAAAAGCTGTTATTAATTTTTTAAACACCATTTTAAGGACAAAATTATTAGCCCCTTTAAGCTAACTTTTTTTTCTATAGTCTACAGAACAAACCATCGTCATACAATACCTTGCCTAATAACCCTAACCTGACTGGTTAACCTAATTAACCTAGTTAAGCCTTTAAATGTCACTTTAAACTGCATAGAAGTGCCTTGAAAAATATCTAGTAAAATATTATTTATGGTCATCATGGCAAAGATAAAACAAATCAGTTATTAGAAATAGGTTATTAAAACTATAATGTTTAGAAATGTGTTAAAGAAATCTATTCTCTGTTGAACAGAAATAGGGGAAAAATAAACAGGGGTCTAATAATTCAGGGGGGCTAATAATTCTGACTTCAACCGTATACTGAAGATGGTCATGAGCTTTGAGACATGACTGAAAGGATAAGATCTCGGCCTGGGAATGCCTCGGGATCCCCCCGGAGGAGCTGGAGGAAGTGTCTGGGGAGAGGGAAGTCTGGGGTTCTTTCCTAAGAAAGACCTGCGACCCGGCCACGGAAAAGCGGTATAAAAAGAATGAATGAATGAATGAATGATATACTGAAGAATTTTAGGAAAAATAGCTGATTTTTTTCAACATTCTTCAGAATATCTTGTTTTGTGAAATTCATAAACATTTAGAACCACTTGAATGTGAGTAAATGGTAAAAAAATAATAACTTGGGTGAACTATTCCTTTACATCCTCATCATCATATTACATTACATCATCATCATCACGCCCTATTAGGGTTAAAGCATTCCATTATAGCCCAGCTAAAGCAAACATATGTACTTTAATGCATACCTACCAACGCTCCTCTTTTTCCCGGGAGTCTCCTGTATTTTAGACCCATCTCCTGCCACCCCCCCATTTTACTTCTCCAGGAAAACTCCTGTAATTTCACCCCCACAGCAGTCCTCAGCTTTTTGGTAGTCTAACAAACCCCCTGGTTGCCAATTTTGGTATAGTATCCGATTACAGTTACAAACACCACAGTACAGTTAACCTACTAACCGGGTTCTCAACAGTGTTATTTAGACACCTCACCCAAAACACCGGTCTCCTGGATTTTCAGAGACAAATCTTGGCAGGTATGCTTTAATGTATTATTCATGAGCTTCATTCAATATACAGTGGGGAAAATTTGTATCGAACACATCACCATTTTTCTAAAAAAAACATTTTAAAAGGTGCTGTTGACTTGAAAATTTCACCAGATGTTGGTTAAAAGCAAATAATTCTATATATGCAAGGAAAACAAAACTAATTTGTTTTTGCAGATGAAGTTAGGTAATATTTATATTAATAATATGAAAAGACACAGGGAAAAAGTTTTGAACAACACATGAAGAAAGGGAGGTGTAGAAAGGGAGTGAAAGCCCAGACAGTAGCTTAAATCTCTCAGTTGTTCTTCAGTAACTCTCTGCCCTTCCTCATTGTCAATGAATATCAGCTGCTTCAGTCTAACATCTACATTAGCAGGAGGACGAAGATGAAACCAGAGTTGACATTTCAGCAAGACAATGATTCAAACACAGCCAAGTAAACTTTCAAATGCTTTCAGAGAAAGAAAATGAAGCTGTAGAATGGCCCAGCCAATCCCTTGACTTGAATCCAATAGACAATAGAAATTTAAGATTAGATTTGACCCACAGAACCATCAAGACACTTACTGTACACTCTGTAGAAGTCTGTGAAAAACTCGTTTGAGCAACGCATGTGACTTCATTCTCCATATGAGAGACCATTAGTGTCAGTAGTTCAGCACTTTCTCCTTGTGTCATACTATTGTTATTACACAGATTTTTCAGATTTTTTATTGGTATGTTTGTATTATTTGAGTTTTTGAAAGTCAACAGCTCTTTTAGAAATATTACTCCCAGGAAAAAAACATGACATGTTCAAAGCTTATTACCCCACTTTACCTTTGAGTCTGATAATTCGCATACATGATAAAGCTGCCAGTCTTTACCTGAGTTTATCGTATTCCTCTCTTCCTTTATGTAGAGCTTGTTGTCTGTCCTTAATCTCTTGATTCAGAGCTCTGGACTCTGTCTCAAGCTTTTCCAGCTGGTTTTTCAAGGCAGATATTTTTTTAAGATGCTGCATGTGCTCGGCCTCTTGGCGGTTTCTGCTGCTGCTAGAACAGTGACAGTAGTCAATTACTCCAGCTAATTGACTCATGTAGATATGCATATGCAAATAAAGCTGGACAGTTGCAAACAAAAATCTCCAAAGCAAATTATGTTGATGTTAAATAACACACAGGGAAGAACAGCCTAAAATTAAAGTTGTTCCCTCAATAAATGGACTCACCCATGACTTATTTTGTGAATTCTCTCCTGAAGAAGGCATTGCTCCTTTTTTAACTGTTTCAATTTATTCTCAGCGCGGAAGTAAACCACCTGAAAAACTGGCACTCTAAAAACCTATACAAACTCTTGACAGATCAACAAAAACCCTGTTCAAAACTTAAAGGAGCAGCTCACCCATAAATTAAAGCCATGTAATCTTTTATTTATTCTACAGTGCATTCGTATCTCCAATGACAAGAATCACAAGAGCGGACAAACAATTAGCATGAATTAGCTAAATGAGCTATAATGTAAGGGCTGCACAATATATAAAAAAAGTATAAGCAAAATACGTATCACAGACAACAGCGATAAATGAAATGTATTTTATGTGCTAACTTGCCAAGCATTTGTGTTTCGCATGCATACTGTAGGTTGTTTATCCAAATTGGACCAATCAGATGGGGTCTTGCTATCTGTACACTGTATCTGCGCCTGCTCTTCTCGCATAAATCCAGAGGCCACTATCGACTGACTGACCAATCGACTGACCCACCTTTCTCCTTCCCTAAACCCAACCTATAGTGTTTTTAAAAGTACTGATTGACCAGCGCCAACCCACCTCCCTAAACCCAACCAATAGTGTTTTCAAAAGCACTGATTTACCAGCGCCCACCCACTTCCCTAAACCAAACCAATAGTGTTTTCAAAAGCACTCATTGACCAATGCCCACCCACTCCCCTAAATCCAACCAATAGTGTTTTCAAAAGCACTTGTTGACCAGCGCCAACCCACTTCCCTAAACCAAACCAATAGTGTTTTAAAAATCACTGATTGACCAGCGCGACCTAGATTGGGGCGTGCCTTCAGCGCACCTGATGCTGGTCGGCACCCTTATTTAAACCCCGGCAGAGAGTTTGTCGGGGCGCTGTCCATTCACTTGGCAGTTGGCCAGAGCCGCGCTCCTATTTGGGCATTATGCTTTGTTTCATATTCATACACTATCACTGACAACATCTACCGCATCCATACATTTGCATTTCACACTGATTGAACATACTAATACTGATATTTTGATTATATAATTTAAATTGAGTTAAATAAATCTTCTTTTTAATTATACTTATCCTTGTCGTCTCCCTTATTATGTTACATCCCTGAGCCAGGTGTAACACAACCAATAGTGTTTTCAAAAGCACTGATTGACCAGAGTCTACCCACTTCTCTAAACCCAACCAATAGTGTTTTCAAAAGCACTGACTGACCAGCACTCACCCACTTCCCTTAACCTGACCAACAGTGTTTTCAAACAGTGCGTTCAAATGCAGAAATGTGACTTATTCTTGAAATAATCATAAAAAGGGTGGTATTATTTATTTAATTGAATCTGGTTGAAAATTATGCAGTAAGGTATTTTTTCAATTACAATTAACTAAACGCTAACGTTTAATTGACCAAATTCACAGTTTATTTCTGTTAATTCCTACATATTTCCATGAATTCCCATATATTCACTGCAAAAAATGCTTTTCTTGCTCAGATTTTTGTCTTGTTTCTAGTCTAAATATCTAAAATGTCTTATATCAAGAAGCATTTTCTAGACAAGCAAAACATATTGTCTAGTTTTAAGAAATAGCATGCCAATATTAAGTGAGTTTTTCCATAAAACAAGCTAACTAATCTGCCAAAGGGGTAAGCAAATTAATTTTGTTTTTTCTTTTGACGTAAGATTATTTTGCTTACCCCATTGGCAGATTATGTAGCTTGATTTAAGAAAAAAACTTACTTAATATTGACATATTATTTCTTACAACAAGACAATATGTTCTTCTTGTCTAGAAAATGCTTCTTGGTTTAGGAATTTTTAGATATTTGGGCTAGAAACAAGACAAAAAATCTAAGCAAGAAAAGCATTTTTTTTTTGCTGTGTTCTCATTAGTTTCCAGCCTTGAAAATTCCCAGAATTTTGCAACCTTAATCAGAATATAAAGATAAAAGAATCTACTTAGGTCTTCAGTCATCCATAGAGTTTTGAAGTCTAAATGTTTTAGCCTGAATTAATTTAATAATATCATCAAAATATCAATTATCTGATTACTGTAATATCATTATATGAATAAATTGTTTTTAAAAGTATCTAAAAAAATTTGCATTTTCCAGAGAAATGTTATATTGCAAAATATTGACAATAATACTCTACAAAAATATTGCATATAACAGATGAATCCAGGTATTGTGCAGCCCTACTGTATTATTAATGTCTTATCATAATAATAGTCTTTTTAGGACCTCAAAAATTTTTTATTTTTTTTTGACGAAAAACATAAGGGAGTGAAATATTTGTTTTTGGGTGAAATACTCCTTCAAGAATAACAATAACAAACAAGCAAATGTGACTGAGCTGTTATTATTTAACAAATGCTTAGCCTAACTGTTGATGTCATCATTTATATTTAAAATTTTTATTTTTATATACAGTGCTCAGAATAAATTAGAACACCCCTTACAGATCTCTTTTTTATTAATATTTTCTATACCAATAATATTTTTGCGTTTATAGGATGGTTTAGTCAGTACCAAAGCCAAATCTGGAAATAATCAAACAAAAAAAAGATCCCAGTTCAAATTTGAGGAAATGTTGAGAAAATAGTGTAAATAAAATTTTAATAAACAGGAAAAATCAAGTGAAACAAAAAATATCAAATTTAGTTGAAATTTTGTAGTTTATAACTTTTTCAAAATGTAAGTATATTATTGCTCTATTTCTAAAGGCTTTAGGTGACCAAACTCGAGCTTTAAATGAGAAATGGATAGAATTATTTTTTTTTAAAAGGGGTGTATTCATTGAGTACTCACAATGAGCACTGTGTATATGTATGTGTGTGTGTGTGTGTGTGTGTGTGTGTGTTTGTATATATATATATATATATATATATATATATATATATATATATATATACAATTGAAGTCAGAATTATTAGCCCCCTGTTTATTTTTTCCCCAATTTCTGTTTAACGGAGAGAAGATTTTGTTCCACACATAATAGTTTTAATAACTCATTTCTAGTAACTTTTATTTTATTTTACCTTTGCCATGATGACAGTAAATAATATTGGACTATATATTTTTCAAGACACTTCTATACAGCTTAAAGTGACATTTAAAGGCTTAAATAGGTTAACTAGGTTAACTAGGCAGGTTAGGGGAATTAGGCAAGTTATTGTATAACGATGGTTTGTTCCATAGACTAAAGCAGGTCGCACACCAGAAGCGCCGCTCGGCGCCGCAACACGGCGCGTACATGACAGTTTAAAGTATCACACACCAGACGCGCACATTTGAATGATATTTAACATGAAACTAATCAGATGGCGCTCTGTGGCGCGGCTGAAAAATGAACTGCGTCCTGAGCCGTCGCCGGGCGCCGCCGACAGCCGCCGACTTGCGGCGCCGACTTGCGACGCCGGTGTGTGTATCCTGATAGAAACCTATGTTTAGAATTCTAAAATACATGGCGCTGCGTGGCGCAGCGCGGCGCGCCGCTTTAAGGGGCTAATAATTTTGTCCTTAAAATGGTGTTTAAAAAATTAAGAACTGCTTTTATTCTAGCCGAAATAAAACAAATAAGACTTTCTCCAGAAGAAAAAATATTATCAGACATACTGTGAAAATGTCCTTGCTCTGTTAAACATCATTTGGGAAATATAAAAAAAAAAAATTTATTCAGAGGGCGGCTAATAATTCTGACTTCAACTGTATATATATATATATATATATATATATATATATATATATATATATATATATATATATATATATATATATATATATATTTATATATATATATATATATAAATAATAAAATTGCATAAGAACTCAATTAAAAAAATAGAAAGCAAAGACATCTCACCTCCTGGCTTTTCTGTGCTTTTGTTTTGACTTTAATTTCCTCCTTCATTTTCCGGCTCTCCTCTGTGAGATGTTCCTGCTCCTCTCGAAGCGTACACAGATGTTTCTGGCTGTCCTGCAGTTTCTTCTCAGCAACAGCAACTTTGTTCTTAAAGACAAAACGATTAGTTGACAACTAATGTTTATGGGGTCAGTGATAAGACGCCTGCACAAAACTGAAAGTAAAATGTCAAAACACAGGTGAAACAATATTCCTTCCTCATTCAGAGTAACAGTTACATTCAACAGTTTTATTAACAATATATGAGAATTGCTGCTTTTTTTGACCTGTACTTTTTAAAATAAATCAGAAAACTATACTTTTTAGCATACAATTTAACAGTGGTGGGAAGACGACTGAAAAAAAATCATGCTCATTGTCATTGATTTGACTGATGTAACCACTACATGGGTTAAAACAGGTTATTTTCTTACACTTCAGTCAGAAGTATTTAACGTTTAATAGACAAGGCAGAATATTTACTTCATTAAATCATTATAGATGATTTTATATTTATTATAGTGTTATATTTATTTATATATATATATTTTATTTATTTATTTTTGCAGCTTGTAAAAAGGGGCATAATAGGTCGAAAACGTTCTACCATCAACATAAACAACTGATTATTCAGACCTGACAGAGCTGCAGCTTTTCTTCATGTTTACAATCAGCATCTTCTTTTTCGATTTGTTCCTTCAGCTGTTCAACTTGACTCTCTTTCTCTCTCACCTAAACAGAAACACGGTTTAACACAAGGTCGTCTGCAAGCAGCTTTTCACACAACTATTAATAGAGCTTACCAAAGACCACGCCATCTTCTTTTTCAGGTCCTCCAGAGTCTGTCTCATATCATCCAGAGACGACATGCGCTCATATCTTTCTTTCCTCTGCAAGAATAACTGCCTGAGATCTCTGAGACACTAAAAATAAAGATATGACCAATGTGTGATTATTAGCACAGTCCACAAAATGTGCTTTGAGGGTGAGTAAGTATGAGAAACGTTAACAGTGATGCTTAACTTTAGGGCTTGTCAATATGACAATATATACAATTGAAGTCAGAATTATTAGCTCTCAATTATTTTATTCCCCAATTTCTGTTTAACAGAGACAGGATTCTGTTCAACACATTTCTAAACATAATATTTTTAATAACTCATTTCTAATAATAATATAAACTAATAATAATTAATTAAATTAAATAATAATTAAAAATAAAATAATAATTTATCTTTGCCATGATGACAATAAACAATATTTTACTGAATATTTTTCAAAATACTAGTATTCAGCTTAAAGTGACATTTAAAGGCTTAACTAGGTTAATTTGGCAAGTCACTGTATAACAGTGCTTTGTTCTGTAGACTATCAAAAAACAAATATTGTTAAAGGGGGCTAATAATATTCACCTTAAAACGGTTTAAAAGAATTAAAAACTGCTTTTATTCTAGCCAAAGTAAAACAAATAAGACTGTCTCCGGAAGGAAAAAATATTATAGAAAATACTGTGAAAAATTCCTTAAAAACAAATTAGTGCTCCTACAGGTACTATAAAGTGATATACACTCACCGGCCACTTTATTAGGTACACCTGTCTCACTGCTCGGTAACGCAAATTTCTAATCAGCCAATTACATGGCAGCAACTCAATGCATTTAGGCACGTAGATCAAGACAATCTGCTGCCGTTCAAACGGAATCTGGCATCAGAATGGGGAAGAATCAGAATGGGGAAAGGTTATTTAAGTAACTTTGAACATGACATGGTTATTGATGGCAGACGGGCTGGTGTGAGTATTTCAGAAACTACTGATCTACTGGAATTTTCTCGCACAACTATCTCTAGGTTTAAAGAGAACGGTCTGACAAAGAGAAAATATACAGTGAGCAGCAGTTCTGTGGGTGCAAATGCCTTGTTGATGCTAAAGGTCAGAGGAAAATGGCAAGACTGGTTCCAGTTGACAGAAATGCAACAGTAACTCAAATAACCAGTCGTTATAACCGAGGTCTGCAGAAGAGCATCTCTGAACACACAACTTGTCCAACGTTGAGGCGGATGGGCTACAGCAGCAGAAGACCACACCGGTGCCACTCCTGTCAGCTAAGAACAGGAAACTGAGGCTACAATTCACACAGGCTCACCAAAATTGGACAATAGAATATTAGAAAAGCGTTGCCCGGTCTGATGAGTCTCTATTTCTGCTGCGACATTCGGATGGTAGAGTCAGAATTTGGCATCAACAACATGAAAGCATGGATCCATCCTGCCTTGAATCAACAGTTCAGGCTGATGGTGGTGGTGTAATGGTGTGGGCATATTTTCTTGGCACACTTTGGGTCTATTAGTGCCAATTGAGTATCATGTCAACGCCACAGCCTACTTGAGTATTGTTGCTGACCCAGCCCATCCCTTTATGACCACAGTGTATCCATTCTCTGAGGGCTACTTCCAGCAGGATAACACTGGTTTCTTGAACATGACAATGTGTTCACTGTACTCAAATGGCACCCACAGTCACCATTTCTTAATCCAGTAGAGCACCTTTGGGATGTGGTGAAACAGGAGATTTGCATAATGGATGTGCAGCCAACAAATCTGCAGCAACTGTGTGATGCTATCATTTCAATATGGACCAAAATCTCTGAGGAATATTTCCAGTACCTTGTTGAATCTATGCCACGAAGGATTAAGGCAGATCTGAAGGCAAAAATGGTCCAACCCGGTACCAGTAAGGTGTACCTAATAAAGTGGCCGAATATGAGATGACTTAAATTGTGATATGAGCTTTTTTGTCATATAGCCCACCCCTATTTGACTTTAAAAAACATACTGTGTACATTGTTGAATATTGAACTCAAATATAATGAACAAACAGGCTCACCTCCTCTTGTCTTTCCACCTGGTCTCGTGTCACGGCTTTAGTCTGCTTGATGTGAATGTAGTCTCTTTTCATTTGCTCCAGAAGAGTAGCTTTCATGAAAAACTTTAGATAAAGTTAGTCAGTTAACTGTACCGCAATACTACTAGCTATTGATGACGTATGGAAAATAAATCACCCTGTATTTGTCCGCTTCACTTTTCGAATGCAGGAATTGTTTACTCATTTCTTGGTTAAGGACAGACACAGGATTGTCAACCTTTGATTAAATCAGAAACAGAAATAAAGGGAAGTTTTTAAATGGAACTGTAAAAAGAAACAGTTTTCTTCTTTTTTATACATTAATATTTGTGCACAATGCAATTAATAAAGTGATATTATGTATTTTAGTGATTCATTTTATATGCCATATATGAAAAGCCTACTTTAGCGATTTAGCTTTTTTTTTCCATAATATTTTTTATAATTTTCAGTTTGTACACATTGAAATACAACATTTTACAAACATTTTGCAACAATAATAATCTTGTTGCATTTACAAATTATACAAAATATAAGGATATATATATATATATATATATATATATATATATATATATATATATATATATATATATATATATATATATATATATATATATATTTATAATAGAAACTAAAAGCAAACAACAAACAAACAACAAAAAACAATAAATAAAAAAAGAAAAAGAAAAGAAAAAAGTAAAATTGCTCCTCTTTTTGTCATTAATGGTGCGATTTGCATTTTTAAACCTAAATAAAACTTAAGAGCTTTTTTTTATTATTTTGTTAAAGGCATAGTTATCCCAAAAATGTTTAATTCTATCTTAATTTACTCAAACTTGCCTTGTTCCAAAGCAGTTTTAGCATTTTGTTTTGTTGACCACAAAAGATGTTTTGAAGAATGTAAGAAAACTGCAACCCTTGACTTCCATACTTTTTAAATTTTCTACTATGGATGTCAATGGTTCCTGGATTCCAATATTCTTCAAACTATCTTCTATTGTGTTAAACACAAGAAAAAAATTTACTTGTTTGGTGAAAATGATGACAGAATATCAATTTTAGGTGAACTATTCCTTTAGGTTCTGCGCAAAAATCTCCCAAAAAAGTCCACAGATTAAGTCTGGCCTAACCAAAACTTAAAGAACAAGCAAGCTTTAGGTAGAATTTCATAAAAGACGTCACATCGTTTTTCACCTGGATTCCAAAATGGTCCAGTATTGCAGTCAACTCCTCCTTCTTAGTGGAAACCACATGCCCTAAAAATAAATCAAATTGAATGAATGTGTGAACTGGAAAGGAAGTCTTCTTACTGATGTCACCCAGAGAGGAAATGATGCAATTACCTGCTTTATTCTTGATCTTACAAGTCCTGCATCCATCACTTGTGATCCGATGTTCAATGCAGATGCTGTCTCCATAAACATCCCCTTTATAGGGGTCATTTCCTCGGTTTTTTAATTTCACTTTAATGTCTGTAGAACTGGAAATGAACACATCAGAGTGTTTACGAAAAACCATGAACTTGTGAAGATACAGTTGCAGTCAAAATTATTCCCTCTCTTGTGAATGTTTGTTTTCTTTTTCAAATATTTTCCAAATGATGTTTAACCGAGCAAGGAATTTCTCACAGTATTTCCTATAATATTTTTTCTTCTGGAGAAAGTCTTACTTGTTTTGTTTCAGCTAGATTAAAAGCAGATTTCATTTATTTTTCATTTTAAGGTCAATATTACTAGCCCCCTTAAGCAATGTGTTTTTTTGACAGTCTACAGCAGTGAATCCTATAGTGGGGGTCTCCTGGGGGGTCACAGGACAATTAGAGGGGGCTTGATGATTTCCAAAAATCTAATTAATTTGATTAAACTATTAAGAGTTTGCATACTTTATCTACAACATACAGAAAAAAATAGTAACTAAAAGTTACATTAAAAAAACAACATGCAAATAAAATCCATCGGTCTTTCGATTTTTTTTTTTTTTTTTTTTTTGACCCCTTTAGTGATTACATTATTAAAAACACAGCAGACTGATTTTATGGCACAAGGTTTAACTCTGACACATTTACAGCATTCACGTACACACAAAAAAATACATGAACATTGAGGATGGTCTCAAAGTGGCGTTCTTCAAAATTAAATGATGAATAGACTTGGGCCTATTGGTATATGTGCGCCGTTGTGTGCAAGGTTTTTATATTAATAACCACTTCAGAGTCCCTGGCATTAAATTTTGGGGATTTGCGGGCTGAAAAGTTTGGGAACCTCTTTTCTACAGAACAAACCACTGTTATACAACGATTTTCCTAATTATCCTAACCTACCTAATTAACCTAGTTAAGCCTTAAATGTCACTTTAAGCTTTCTTGAAAAATATCTAGTCAAATTTATTTACTGTCATCATGGCAAAGATAAAATAAATCAGTTATTAGAAATGAGTTATTAAAACTGTTGTGTTTAGAAATGAGTTCAACAATTTTTCTTTCTGTTAAACGGAATTATGGGGAAAATATTCAAGAGGGGTAATAATTCTGACTTCAACTAAATATTATTGAATCTTTCTGAATAATAATATACTTACGTCTCTCCATATTTCACAAAACCTTTCAAAGACGTTCCTCTATTAGTTGTAGTTGCTTTTCCACCGAGACCCACTATAAGAGCTGTCAGAATGGCACTTTTCCCAGCTTAAAGCAATGACAAAAAACACAAACATGGAGAAAAGACTCACAATAAAACAACACTGTTAATATATATATATATATATATATATATATATATATGTGTGTATATATATATATATATATATATATATATATATATATATATATATATATATATATATATATATATATGACATTTAAATCAGCGGTTCTCAGAAACATTTATAACAATTAATTGTAATATTTAGTGATAAAAATTACGACATCATACTTTTGAGTATGAGGTACCAGAGGTGCTTATAAGATTCATTCATTCATTTTTTCCTATATTCATCAAGGGTGCCCACAGCGGAATGAACCACCAACTACTCCAGCATATGTTTTACGCAGCCGACACCCTTCCAGCTACCAGCTTCCAGCACGAAGGTCGCTGGTTCGAGCCTCGGCTGGGTCAGTTGGTGTTTCTGTGTGGAGTTTGCATGTTCTCCCTGCGTTCGCGTAGGTTTCCTCCGGGTGCTCCAGTTTCCCCTTCAGTCTAAAGACATGTGCTACAGGTGAATTGGGTAAGCTAAATTGTCCATAATGTATAAGTGTGAATGAGTGTGTATGGATGTTTCCTAGAGATGGGCTGCGGCTGAAAGGGCATCCGCTGCGTAAAAAACCTGCTGGATAAGTTGGCGGTTCATTCTGTTATGGCGACCCTGGATTAATAAAGAGACTAAGCCGAAAAGAAAATGAATGAATGAATCATTTATTTATCCTCCACTTGTTCCTGTTTGAGTGTCTTCTGTTAAACACAAAGGAAGATACACTGAAGAATGTTGTAAAAAAAACAGCCATTGACTTCCATGGTATTTTTATTCTTACTATGAAAGTCAATGGTTGCTTTTATCCAACATTATTCAACTTTCTTACATTTTTATTTATTCAACTGCTATTTCTGTTTAATAGTTCTGATTTTAAAAAGTTATTCATAAAAGTTTACAACAATTTAAGTGTGATTAAATGAGGAGGACATTCTCATTTTGAGTAAACTATCTTTTTTATGATACTTTGAAGTGTTTGGTTTCACACATTCATATATTTACTGTAATAATGTCAATCTTAACTGTTCAGAAATTATGTTGGCTCTTACTTCCATTGTTTCCAACAATGAAGTTGACATTTGCTCCAAATTTTAAAGGTCCAAGCAAATGGTGGCTCATGAAGTTCCTCAAAGTTATACTTTCTATCACACCGATATCTCCGACATTCTGGAAAAGCACATGATGTTACTTGGATCAGACATGCTATAACAATTATTCACTGGCCAGGGTACCCATTTTAAGCCAAGTATAAAATTCCCTGACTTTTACTGACTCAAAAACTAAATTTCCATGACCTACAGCTGAACCCAGAAGTTTACATACACTCTAAAAAAAGGGACATAACCATTTTTTTTTTTTTTTTTTTTATGTCTGATGGTAAATCATACTAAAAGATATCCATTTTAGGTCCGTTAGGATTACCTAAATCAATTAAATTTGCTAAATGCCACAATAATGAGAGAATTTTTTTGAGAATGTTTTTTAGACAGTCAAAACTTTACACACATTTCCTTGGTATTTTTTTAGCTTTGGTTTTAAACTTTATAACTCTGGTCTGATGTTTTGGGTATCCTTCCACAAGCTTCTCACAAAAGTTTGCAGGAATTTTGACCCATTCCTCCAGACAGAATTGATGTTACTGAATAAGATTTGTTGGCTTTCTTGCTCGCACAACCTTTTTCAACTCTGGCCACAAATTTTCTATAGGATTGAGATCAGGGCTTTGTGATGGCCACTCCAAAACATTCACTCTGTTGTCCTTAAAGCACATGTCAACTAATTTGGCAGTATGCTTAGGGTCATGGTCTGTTTGGAAGACCCATTTGTGGCCAAGTCTTGAGATGTTGCTTCAGTATTTCTACATGATGTTCTTTCTTCATGATGCCATCTATGCTGTGAAGTGGACCAGTCCCTCCTGCAGCCAAACAGCCCCACACAGGGCCGGAGTGGGACTCCTTTTCAGCCCTGGAGTTTCAAGCCTTAGACTGGCCCACCTCAGTTCACGACTGACTATATTAAAATAGGGTCTTTTCCAATTCATTTTCTAATGACACTATCACGTCTTTTTAAGAAAACAGCTGCTTTAGAACTTCAAATGTTCAACAACCTTACAGTTTTATATGTCTTAACAATAAAAATTAAAATAAATAAATAAATAATTACTCATTTGAGGTTAGAACACGGATCGACAGCATCGTAACGCAACGTGCTGACCACTGGAACACAATGGCGCTGTTACGCTTGTGTGGCTGGAATGATAGTTACAGGCTACATTTTGCTCATGTGGCTGCGAGACAATAAATAAGAAGAGTGGAGCTGCGGCAAAATAATGAATAAAAAGAGTGAGGCTATGGTCAAAAAAATAAATAAATAAATAAATAAAACTCTGACTGCTGAGAGTGCAAGCAGCTAGAAACACCGGCCCTCGTGGCCAAAAACGGACCGACCCACCGGGAATTCTCCCGGTCCTCCCGATTAGCCAATCCAGGCCTGGTCCAACAACATGATCCATACTTCACAGTTGGGATGGTGTTCATGGGCTTGTAAGCTTTCCCCTTTGTCCTCCAAATGTAGCACTGATAATTATGGCCAAACAGTTCAATCTTAGCTCCATCAGACCACAGGACATGTCTCCAACAATTTTTCCAGTGTAATTTAGCAAGTTGTAATCTGGCTTTTTTGTTGATTCTGTCTTGTTGATTTTCTCATGTTGTCACACAAGGAAGCAGTGTGTTTGAGGTTTTCCTTAAGTACTGTTCTACAGTTGTGCCTCCAATTAACTCAAATGTTGTCAATCAGCCAATCAGAAGCTTCCAAAAGCTTGACACCATCATCTGAGCTTTTTCAGAGACATAATCATCTTATTGTATGTAAACTTGACTTTCAAGAAAAGTTATAACAATTTCTCAAAAAAAATCTCTTTCAATATTCTGCTATTAAGCATAACAGAAACAAATTTGATAATCCAAACTCACCTAAAAGAGAAAAGGTTTAGTCACATTAACATTCTGACTTTTTAAAAAATGGTTATGTGCCTTTTTATAGTGGATGTAAACTTCTGGTTTAAACTGTATATTGTCTTAATTCAGAAGCCTTTCTTATTTCTAGTTCAAATATCTAACACTTCTTAAATCAAGAAGCAATTTATAGGCAAATATAAAAATAATTGATAACACTTCATAGTAACTACACACTATGAATCATTTATCAAGCATTAGCATATAGTGAATTCATTATCTGTTAAGCATTACCTCTACATTAATAGACGTTAGTAAGCAGTTCATAACAATGCTGTATTTTTGATTTATAAGTACATTTATAATGTGCTTATTAACTGTACTTTCATAATTTGTGACTGATTGATTTTTCATTACTAAATCAAGTATTGCATTATTTACAAACCATTTGTATTTAAGTGTAGCTGGTGTTTTTTTTAAGATCATTCAGAATGAGTTAGTAAATGATTAATAAACTATTTAAATCAACATTTATATATATTTAATTATTCAGGCATATACTAATAGTACCTTATAAGGTAATAAATGCTCCATTAACTCAGGTTCATGCAGTTTTGTGACTTAATCTAAAGTGAGGACTATTTATGCTTTATAAATCCCTTATAAATGACAAATAAAGGCTTAGTATCAAATGAACAATCCATCTTTGCAATCTTATCTAAAAAATTAAATCACTGTAAAGCAGGGGCGATTTTAGGATTTTACTTTAGGTGGGCTACAAATCTGACTCAGTTACACCAGTTCTGTCAGGAGGAATGGGCCAAAATTCCTGCAAACTACTGTGAGAAGCTTGTGGAAGGATACCCAAACATTTGACCAAAGTATACAGTTTAAAAGCAAAGCTAAAAAAAATACCAAGGAAATGTATGTAAACTTGTGACTGTCTAGAAATAAATAAAACATTCTCAAAAAAATAATAAATCCTCTTATTATTGTGGCATTTAGCAAAGGAAAATCATTTAAGTGATCCTAACAGACCTAAAATAGTAAACGTTTAGTATGATTTACCATCAGACATTTAAAAAAATGGTTGTTTATTTTTTTTACAATGTATGTAAACTTCTGGTTTCAACTGTATATAAATATGAGTTTACTTAATTCCATAACCTGTGGGAACCCTGACTGACCATTAATCCACCATTATCCCTATCAGGTTGTGTTTAGGAAGTAATGAAACTGACCGAAGCAGAAAGATGATCTTGAAGGGCTCCATCCTCCTCATCAACATCCTCCTCCTCCAACACATGAGTTTTACCATCAGTCCGAGGGGTCTTCGATGGTTTTACAGCATTGTGAACACCAGATTTCCTCTTATTCATGGCAGAGAGATGTCCAAACTTGAGGGAAAAGACACAGTATTACGAGCTAAAAGCATAACATCACGCATCCAAAGTCTGTCAAACACAATTTCACTACTTAACTCGGCCAGTAACTGATAAAACACGAAAATTAAAGCTCAGATGTTTATATTTAACGTCAGAAATTACTTTAAAAAAGCCACTGAAGCAACGACAGATGCAGAAACACAAAGAGGAACAATAGATAACGTTAGACTAGCGAACAACTAACGTTACCGTCAACTGACATGAAGGAACAGGTGAACAGCCTTTAATAAATGAGATAAAATGGCTCTGGAATGAGGATCACGAGTAAATAGAGCATAAACGGCGTTAAATTAAGTACGAGTATGACTGGTGTACTTACTCCATTCCCCTGCATATGGAAAGTAAACGCAAAATGTTTTGACGACTTCCTGGTGAACAGGCAGCGCGCATATGCAAACCCCACCCATTAAGTGTAAACTACAGTCAGTCACTCAGTCAGTCAGTCAGAGTAAACAAACCAGGTATTTATTTATTTATTTTGTTTATTTTTGCCTTCAGAAATGTAAATACGGAGGACGAAACAAATAAATACCCAAATAAATAATTGAGTAAATGAATCTATAAATTCCTGCATAAATAAAACAAATAAATATGGAATTGCATTTTGCATAAATGCAATTTATTTATTTATTTATTGTTTTATATATGCAGAAATTTGTGGATTTACTTACTCATTTATAAAAAAAAAAAAAAAAAAAAAAAAATATGTATATATATATATATATATATATATATATATATATATATATATATATATATATATATATATGTGTGTGTGTGTATATATATATATATATATGTATATATGTATATATGTGTGTGTTTCTATCATTAATCCATCATTAAAGGTTCAACCAGAAACACTGGCGAGATTGTAACTTACAGTATATTTACTAAATATTAATGTATGAAACTAATCCAAAACTAAAACATTATTTATAAACTGAATAAAAATCAATTAAATCGAGCTAATTCAGCAGGTTGGTGCCTATAGACCTGCAGAAATAATTGGTAGTGCCTTGGTTACTGCAGTAACAAAGCAGCATGATGTCAAATCAAGTAGGATTTCATTGATTTCATAAACTACACAGCATCCTGATATTGGCAGATTTGGTAGATTTAACTTTAGCAGACAACCATACACTGCATAATCAAAAAAGATATAAAATTTAATACATTGCAAAATAGCATTTAAGACTTTTAAATACTTTTTAAGAGCCTTACATTTCTCTACATTCATTTCTCAACTTTTAATACTTTTTTAAGACCCGGCAGACACCTTGATATACAGTTGAAGTCAAATTTATTAGCCCCCCTGTTTATTTTTTTCCCCATTTTCTGTCTAACGGAGAGCAGATTTTTTTTCCAACACATTTCTAAACATAATAAAACGCATGTGTCAGTTCATTACTTGAGCTGGAACACTTGATTGGCCCCATGCCTGCAGCTGGTCCCATTTTGGGAGTTACACTACTTAGTCGGTTGGGAGTCATCACCTCCGATCTCCAAACCAAAGCCAGCAGGATGGAGCTACAAGGCGTAGCCAGAAGAGTGGTATCCATAGAGAAAAGGGAGCCAAGTGGGGCTTATTCTTTTCTCTAACGCTTATGGATACTGACACTTGGTTTTAACTCAATCTAAGCAGTGACTTTTTATTTTTGGAAAGTGCACCATCTAAATTCTAAAATAAAATTTAAAAATGTATAAAAAATTAACTTTTTTAAGTGCAAAGTTGAACCTATGCTCTGATTAATCACATTTTTTGCACAATAAGTACTTTTTAAGTGCACAGATAAACACAGTTAACATAGAAGTTCTCGTAAATTGAAACTGTGTCAGTCCAGTTTTTGAAGTTGAATTTCAGTTTAGTTCATTTCAGTGTGGTTTAAAAGGCCGAACACTGAAGAGTTAATCTAACGACACACAGCTCCACAAGTCCCAAACCAAGCAAGCCAGTGGCGACAGTGGCGAGGAACAAAACTTCACTGAATGACAAAAGTGAAGGAAAAAAACCTCGAGAGAAACCAGGCTCAGTTGGGCACGACCATTTCTCCTATGGCCAAACATCTTGTGCAGAGCTGCAGTCTAGGCACCGGTGGCTGGACGTCCATCTTAGAGAAGCTGCAGGTGTGAGTAGATCATCTACAGCAGGGGTGTTCAAACTCAGTCCTGGAGGGCTGGTCTCCTGCATAGATTAGCTCTAACTTCCTTCAAAACACTTGCCTGGAAGTTTCTAGAACACCTAGAAAGAGCTTGATTAGCTGGTTCAGGTGTGCTTAATTGGGGTTGGAAGTAAAATATGCAGGACACCAGCTTTCCGGGACCGAGTTTGAGCACCCCTGACCTACAGAGACTCGCAGAGACTCGTCCGCCACTGGGGCTTTAAGCAAGAAATGTATTGTATTTCTTACTTAATCTGAAAAGCATTTTTTAAAGTGCACATATATCCAGAGATAAAACAGAAAGCTGAAAATAAAAAATAGGTGAGGGCTAGGGTCACTAGTTTGAGTCCTGACTAGACCAGGAGGTCTTTCTGTGTGGGACTCGATCCAGCGCCCTTCTATCTGTGAAGCTAACGTTTAGCCATCTTGCAGCCCTGTGCTCTATGCTGTTTTTCTAGCTCAATCTGAAAAGCATTTTTTTAAAAGTGCACAGACATCCAGAGATAAAAAACAAACAATAATAAAACTGAATAATAAAAGTAGGTTAGGGCTAAGGTATGTGATTTGAGTCCCAGGTTTCCAGGAGGCCTTTCTGTGTGGGACTCAAACCAGCAACATTCTTTCAGTGTGCGGCAGCCATCTTGTAGTTCAGTTTATTTTTATTTTCTTAGTTGTATATTACAATGCCTTTTTGCTTTCTGATTACTCTGCTTTTCCTTGTCTTTTTCGTAGGTTCGAGTAACAACAACTGGAGCAGAAAGGATGAGAAGGGCCTGATGCGCCTCGCCCTGGTCACATAACCAATGGCTTCCTCCAGAGGTAGTTTGTAGTACATCATCAGATATGCTACAAACAGTGTTGGCGCGTGACTGACACCATGCTTGCAATGAATAAACAGGACATCTGTGGAAATAAAATCAGAAAGTAAGTCAACACAAAGGTCAAACAAACAGTAAGTGTTAAATGTTTGATAAAAAAGATCTTACTGTCTGGCTTTCTCAGGGCCTCTGCGATGAACTTTCCAGCAGGCCAGAAGTATTTGACGATTCGCATTTGGTCGTATGTTGTAGGCAAGCCACAATATTTGATGTCCATGCCTTCATAATATTCCGGTCCTGTAAGGATCTTTCCTTTTAGTCCTTTCTTCTTTGGTTTTCCCTCCCAGGTCATCTTCGGCGCTGCTGCATTTAGGATATGGGTGACTCCCAATTCCATCAGTTTGCGTCGATTTCTTGCTGTCTCTCTGCACAAGAACACAATTTTGGTTAGTCTTTTACTAAAAAGGTTGTATTGCAAAATCTAGAATTACATATATACAAGAGGAATGCTTGTTTCTGATTGACTGGTTAACATTCTGTGGTCAGAAAACACAAAGCTGAAATAGTTCCAGGCAGGTTTGGACTGAATTACACTTCCAAATCACTATTATCACTATATAGATATTAAAATTGCACAACCAACAATAGACAAAAAATAGGTCAAAACAACATCTAAACAATGTCTTTAAAGGGATAGTGCATCCAAAAGTGAAGATTTACTCACTTTTTACCCACCCTCAAGTGGTTCCAAACCTTAATGACCTGAAAATTTGTAACCACTGACTTCAATAGTAGGAAAATCATACTATGGAGTTTCCAACATTTTTCAAAATATCTCCTTTTGTTGTATTTTTAAAGACAATAATCTTTGAAATAAGTCAAAGGTGAGTAAATGATGACAGAATTTTCATGTTTGGGTGAGCTGTCCCTTTAAGTGTGTATAAACTAATTAATTATTAGAAAATAAATACAGTCCTGAGGTGGAGAGTACTTTTCTAATAACAGTCAGCTATTCTTACTAGATTCCTATTAATACTCCTACATTTTCTTTTATGACATGGTCTGTGCTGTAGACTTACTCATCTCCAATGTAGACGTTGCGCCAGACCTCCGTAAATGGTGACAGGGGCAGTTTACATTTGTTCACGGTGGCTTCTATTTTCAATAACTCTGCAAGCTTTTGAAAGTCGAAAACTTCATTCAGCAGATTTTGAGGAGGCAAACTGCTTGGACCCGGCTGTCCAAGATCATTTCTAGGACTTGTAAGCTTGTAGTAGAATTCAGAAAGTTGATTCATCATCCACTCTTTGGTGAGTCCTTAAAGAGAAAACAAAGAAAACAGACTTAGATTTTTCCTAGAATATAAAAATCAACTGTTGAATGACTTTAAAAACTATATCTTTATCGTTATCTTTACAATTATGTGAATGATTTAAAAGACTTTTCAGTGTAATGCTGCATCTCAATGCTTTACCTGTTGGGCTGTGATCTTCAGGGGTTTCAGGAGAATGATCCACAGCCTCCTCATCGATCACACTGGTGTTCAAAGACCCTGTTGCATCTGGGACACTCAGTCGCTGTGGTGAATTAGATTCGGTCTTTAGCTTTGCTGAGATGTCATGAAGCTTTCTGAAGAATGCACGGATTTTGCTAATCATCCTCACTTTGGTACTTTCTGGGGAAAAAAAGAAGATAAATAATGTTATTAGAAACATCTCTACTTACTTACTCTACTCAATTAGTCTGAATTCATAGCCATAATTGCATCTTACTGTAATATTGAATATCAAATGCTCTGTTGACATTTACCTGTTGGGTTCATGGCATCAGTGATGTTGACATCCATTCTTTCTCTTGGCACAGGTTCCTGTTCAGAACTGCTTGGACCTGGGACACCTTCTGGATCAACCAGATCCAATTCAGCATCTGGGTCAGAAACACTTGTTTGCTCTGTGTTGACTTCATCCGTTGCAATAGCGGGGTCTGACTTAGGCTGTATTGAGAACCTAAAACGCTTTCGGATGAATGCATTAATTTTCCTGAAGAGCTTCGCTTTGGGAAAGCCTGGGGAAAAAATATGATGTTATTTTCAATTACAAAATGTACAAATAGTTATTTAAAAATGACTTGTATGCCATTGCAATATTGCATCTCATAAAGGTTACTGATACATTTACCTGATGGTCGGTCCACCTGAGTGGTTTCAGAAGAACCATTCAAGCCATCCTGGTCAATCCCTCTGCTGTTCTTCACGTCCTCTGTTGAAGGCTCTGCTGGTTCTTTCAGAGGTTTAGAAACCAACACAGACCTCTTCAAGTTGAAGGAAGGGTGAGGTTTGATGAGGTCGATGACATGTAGAGTTTCTCTATACACAGGTTCCTTTTCAGAGCTGCTTGGACCTGGGACACCTTCT